CATGCACGCATCAACCTGCACTTGTCCTGGTTCGGAAATGAATTGGTAGGAGAGGATGGAATTGCCCAAAATCCAAATTGGCCGTACGATGGTCCCAACGGGCACTGGCCCACGATCCTGGATGATTGTGAGCGCCACTTGACATGGTTCATCAACAAGGCCCGGGAGTTGGACCTGCAGACGGCCGGTCTCACGACCGCGCCCTGGAGCGCAGATTACGGCATTCATCCAATTTTCGATCATTTTTTCGACCATTTGGAGCCCCGATTCAAAGCTCTAACCAGCAGCCTGCAAGGGCGTGCCAATCCGCGGTATCCGTGGCTAAAAGCAAAGGGGTACGCCGATGCAATGGAATTCAGAGACCAGTGGCATTTCGCCAACTCTGAAGAAAATCGCACGCGCCTTGCTGCCTATTGGACAGCTACCCTTTTCGCACTTGATTCCGGATGGCGGGTCGGCCAAATTGGTTTGGAGCTTTCTGAGTGTGCCCAGGAGACATGGGATGATTTGCGGAGGAACATGAGCGCCGTCCTGGACGAGCTGCCAAGATCCTATCAGGAGACATGTGCAAACATCACCAAGTTGCTTTTTGGAGAGTCCCGAAGACACATTGTGCCGACGGGCAGGTCATTCACCAAGGAGGACGTCGAAGCTCAACAACCAGACACTGAGGACTACATCGACATCAAGACGATGCCTTCGGGCACGTTTGCTGAGCCTCCCAAAGATGACCCTCCAAAGGCCGCCGGCGACGGCGAGCCCGCTGCATCCAGCAGAGCAACAATCCTGGTCCAGACAGCTGAGGTCATGTTGAAGTCGCGGCCGAAAGCAGCACCAGCATCAATGGATGAGCCCGCAGATGACAAGGGAGCAACATCCAGCCAGTACCAGCCGCAGGCAACTGCGCGCTTCGAGGGACAAGCATCTGGCCACGTGAAAGCATATTGGATGGAAGAGCATTTGCCTGAATACCAATATACAATGGTGACCAATGCAGACGGGGACGATGTGCCCGGCATCCTCTTTGAAGGTACGGCCTATGAGCTGGAGCTGATATCGGCATCCGACGTTGAGACCATTGCCAGCCAGACTCGCGTCGACAAGAAGTTTTCTGATTTTGCGACTCGTGTCAACAAAGTTTGCAGGGGGCATGGATCCTGTGCCAAGGTGCCAATGGACAAAGACCTTTGGATTGACTTGGAGGATTTCGCCAAAGCCTTCCGCAAGGAAGTGCCCCCAGATGTTTTCATCACTGTTGCAAGCCTGTTTGGCACCGCAATGAAGATCGACAAGCATGGCAAGAGTAGGTTCCAATTCTTGTGTGCAAAGATTTCCCATTTTCCTGTCGACAATGGCTTAGGCATGCCGTATTATCCTGTGAAAATCCGTGCAATTCAGGGTCATTCCGAAGCTGCCTTGAAAACCGCAGGGGGTCTTTATGCCAATTCAACCATGGTGTATTGCTCAGACCATGTATCCCCCGAGCGAAAAGCCGCCTTCACTGGCGTGCCCCTGTGTGCCATGACTGAGGTTCCTGAGGTTGTCTTCCATCGCACGATGAAAAGCAGCTGGAAGAGCATCGCACAGAACGGCCTGATCCCAGGCGGCGGTGAAACAGTCAACAGTGGCCGCGCCCATATCTACATGGCAGAACACTGTATTGGCACGCAGGGGTATCGATCTGGATTAAGAGCAAAATGTCCAATCGAAGTCAAAATCGCAATGCGGCAAGCAGTTGAAGCTGGTGTCATCTTTAGTCGCACAGAAATGGATGGGATTTTGTGCTCAGAACGCATTCCACCACAGTTTCTGGTCAGCATCTCAGAAGAAGGACAGGTGCTTTGGTCCCGCGCCGAGAGCAATCTCGAGCCCAGCACATGGACTGGCGCGGCATCTGCCTCAGCACCGAAAGCCAAAGCGGTCACCTTGACTGCCCGAGATGATGCAAATGACGACCCAATGGATGACACCAGCACGGGGCGACCCGATGCCAAGTCCACTGATGATGATGAAGCCACTGCCTCAATGCAAGTTGACCAGCCGCCCGCAAGGACGCGCCGTGTTTACATTGCACCCAAGTACTGCGAACCTTTCATGGGCTCCTGTCCCCTCTGCCAGGTTGAGTACGTCAGTGGCCAAGTGACATGCACCACATGTGGTTTTGAGCCACTCCCAGTGGACGAAAGTGGCGATACAAAAGAGGCCAACAAACCCAACAGGAGGACCCGCATCCTTGAACGGCGAATGCAAAGTCTCGCCGGGTTCGGAATGTTTGGGAAGATGAGCGGAAGCTTGCTGACAGCCTTGACGGAAGAGCAAGCCAACCTGCTACGCCGAGAACTGGGCCCCAGGGGAATCACATCCGTGGAATCAGCAGTCCTCAAAGACTGCCGCGACAGGCATCGACGTGCAAAAGCGCTGGGCTACGAGGACGTGGAAGATAGATACACCAGCGACGTCACTTTTTGCGACCGCATCCACGGTGAGGGGAAGGACCTGCAGGACTGCATATTTGACGATATGTTCGCATATGGCAACCTCCCCGATCCCCCAAGGACCAAAGCTCAGATCTCGGCTGGCGTCGCCGCCAATGCCCAAAATGAGAACGGCTTATCTAAGTTGATTTTCATGTCTCAGCCTCGTGGCGTTGATGGCTTCCCAGTTGAGTTCCGCAAAACATGGAAGAAGGTCTGGGGTTTCATGTTTGGCCGCCACATTTTTACAGAGGATGAATATGTCAGCTACATCGGCCGTCGTGGCGCATTCCGTGGCCTGTTGACCTGGAAGGGTACTGTCCAAGTCCCTCTTGATGGCACTCGTGATTTCCTCGAAAAGGTGTATGAGGAAAACCTTCCCTTGGTTCGGAGCAATCTTGAACGCAAAGAGAAGCAGAGCGCCGCTGCAAAGGCTGGAGGTCCTGGAGGTCATAAGGCCGACCCCACTGTCGTGCCCACCATTGAGCGAAAGCGCAAAGCCGAAGCTGATGCATCCGCAACCGCACCAGATGTCACAGCCGCCTCAAGCTCTGCTCGCGCAGATGCCTCGCACGCTGATGCCCCAGCCGCACCATTTCTGGTACCTGAACCACCAACATCCAAAGCAGGAGCACGACCATTCTTGGAGCCTGAGACACCGCCCACTGCAAAAGCAGCAACCGCAGGAGTCACTTCGAAGGCTGCAAGCTCTGGTCGCCCGGATGCCTCTTGGAGTTGGAATCGTGATCACTATGGTGCACGCCGAGAATGGAGTTTCTGGCGTGGGGCTTGGTATTACCGTGACGAGGCCGGCGGCCGTTGGATCTTTTGGAACCGTTAGGGAGACGATGATTTTCTTTTGTAGCATAGCGCAAGATGTGGCATGGTAATATGCCTTCCTTGCAACGCTGCGCTGGGTTTTACGGGCTTGAGCTTTTTAGAGGGACCTTTGAAAGACTGCACAAAATGTCTAAAACCAACTAAAGAAATTCGGCTACCCGCGAGGGTATGCTTTTCTGGGTTATTCGTTCTCCGCAGTCGTCCCTGCTCGCCCGAGGGGGGTGTAAAAACTCCTGCAGTAAAACCATGTATTGTATATATCATCGATCTACCCGATAGCGTTGGTTCAAAAAGAGCTGAGAGCTTAGCGGTTTGTAGTGCATTTTACCCCATTGTCGGTTGACCTGGTAAAATACATATATATATATATATATATATATATATTTATGTATGTATGTAATGTAATGTAATGTAATGTAATGTAATGTAATGTAATGTAATGTAATGTAATGTATGTAATGTAATGTAATGTAATGTAATGTAATGTATTGTAATGTAATGTAATGTAATGTAATGTAATGTAATGTTATGTATGTATGTATGTATGTATGTATATATGTATGTATGTATGTATGTATGTATGTATGTGTGTGTATGTAATGTATGAAATGTATCTAATATATGTAATGTATGTAATGTATGTAATGTATGTAATGTATGTAATGTATGTAATGTATGAATGTATGAATGTATGAAATGTATCTATGTATGTAATGTAATGTAATGTAACGTAACATAACGTAACGTAATGTAAGTAAGTAAGTATGTCTGTATGTATGAATGTATGTATGTATGTATGTATGTATGTATGTATGTATGTATGTATGTATGTATGTAATGTATGTAATGTATGTAATGTAGGTAATGTATGTATGTATGGTATGGTATGGTATGGTATGGTATGGTATGGAATGTAACGTAACGTAACGTAACGTAACGTAACGTAACGTAACGTAACGTATGTATGTATGTATGTATGTATGTATGTATGTATGTATGTATGTATGTATGTATCTATATGTATATGTATATGTATATAGGATTTCCCCACTTGCATGTGGACCTTTAGTTCTCAAACGAACCATGGGGCCCCAACGATAGGTTTTCTAGGCCAAACATCTAGGGTGCTTGGTGGATATGTCATGATATGTCCATGTTAGATGGGGTAACATGAACCAAGAAACATCACTGGGGGGACATGGCTTTGGAGCATTTGGCCGTCAACAATGAGGGTATATTCACGATGTATACCAGATGTCCAATTTCCATACAGTCAGTGGCCACTCCAGTCACATAAATTGGAGGTACCTACCGTCAATATTCATCGAGAAGGGAATAGTATATATGCCACCAAATTTTGTGGTACAGGATCTGTAGTACCTCCAGTTAAGGTGCCTGAAATGACCATTGAATCAAATGTGTGTTTTCAACTCTTTATGTATCAGTTCTTGTTTAATTATATAACTACCCTGCGGTAATTTAACATAGCCATGAAATTGTCAATTTAGAGATGTTCTACCTACTGTATTCGCGATGTTTTTTCCATAGCAACCTGTCCAATTACCAGAGGGTAACATCTCAAATTCCCCATCCAACTACATCAAACTACAGTTCTAATTAGTTATAATTAATCACCATAAACCCACAATATCTAAACCCTATTGAAATGTGACCTCTCACCCCCAGGTCTTCAGATCTTCGGCCAAGCCAACGATGCCAACGGCTCCGCTTCTTCCTCCGCACCGCGCATTCTGCGGGACCTGGGGCAGCGGCTGCAGCGGACCTACTGCAGCGCAGCACGCGGCGCGGTGGAAGTGCTGCAAGCGCCAGAGGAAGGGACGCCCGTGCAGGACGGCTCCGCATCATGGCTGGATCCGTTGGTTTTCCAATCTGCAAGTGTTTCAAATCCGATTTTGCTTGCAAATTGGAATGGAGATGTTTTTTTTTTATTGTTTAATTATGTTGGGTCACGGAGATAACTTAACAGTGTAGGGATTTGGCATGTGTATATTTAATTATGTATACATAATTATATAGTTGTTAGTTATTACCTATTCATCTATCAATGGGTTTTAGACCTAAATATAGGGAGTGTGGTGGGTTTAGCAGCCATTTCATGGGCACCTTGGATGGTTGAGGTGCGGTCGACTCGTAGGAGTTAAGCCCTCAGATGTGGCGGCAGATCAATGGTGGCAAACAGGCCGTGGGAGGGTCTGTAAGATGATCAATTTTAGTCAGTGATTCATACGCCTAGTTACACAATGTTACACTTATGGCCCTTAACAGTTATAAGCAGGATTATTAATTATAGATCTTGCAACTAGTTGGCTATAGAATATACTATATACTATATATATATATATATATCACTTACGTGGGCTTATAAGCCAGTAATAACTGTTAAGGTCTGAAACTGTAGTCTCCATTCAGTGGGGTCCCAACTATGGGTTTTAACAAAGCTACGAATCGGTTCCTGAGTGGGATGAGCCTCCCAGGGCGCCAAGATCGCCAAAGTGGGCCCCAGCATGCAGGCCCTGATCCCTGGCAGTGATCTGGATACAATAGCGACCCACTGGCATGCTTAGGATAACTATCCCATGAGCCCAGTGGGTAAGGATAGCTATAACCATCAAGTTACTGGCAAGGATAACTCGTTCATAATTATCATAATTGACCTGATGTTTCCTGTGCGAAACCAAAACCACATATACATACATACATACGTACATACATACATACATACATATATATATATATATATAATATATATATATATATATAAATATTTGTTGGGGATGAAGGGAAAACGATCCAAAATAACTTGTGTGGGATAATATGAGTGCTTCAACCACCAACCAGCACCAGAGGATGGTTTCCCTTCAGTACTAGGATTATCAAGGGTTGGAAAGGCTAGCAGTTGGCCATAGGGTTTGTATGGGTTAGCATTTGAAAATAAATGATACTTGCATGCGTCCATGTCGGTATGTCATGGTATGTCCCACTGTGCGGCATGACATGTGGAAGAAGGCCCGTCCCAACTCATGCGGGGTTGCTTGTCATTGCGCAGATACGTACAAAATAAGTCAAGTATGTTGGCAGGGGTGTTCAGCCTTGATTCATTTTCATCAGTCCGACAACATCTCCAGCGGAATCTGAAAGAAAACACAAACCTTGCAAAAATTGTCAGGATGGTCCTTCCAATCTCCAAATCCATATGTTCATTCATGCTCAGTTGTTGCTTCTAGTCCTTTTTGCATCACCTTCACCTCTGCCATGTGGACCAGGACATCATCGAAAGAGAATTGGAGGAGATCTTTCGACAGCCTGGGGGGTATGAAGGTTGCCCCCTAGCGGAGCAGCCAGCGGGTTTGAAAACTGCAGCTTGGTGGCCAGCAGGTTCGTGCTAGACAAGAAGTCTTGGAATAGCAGCAGGAGATCAAGAAAGAACTAGGTCACCAAAGTCCCCTTGGTAATTTCATGTACTTTTGGTAAATCCAAAGTTGCTGTTTTATCAGTTTCTTTCCAAATCCCTCCTTGCGATGTTTGTCCCCGGCCCCAGCCTTCAACCGCTTTGCTATCATCCTCCTCCCAAGGGGGTCAGTGGATAGGTTGAAATCATTGGCCATATTTGGACGGTCCTTGAAATGTTCGGTAGACACGCATACATACATACATACATACATGCATGCATGCATGCATCCATCCTCCATCCATCCATCCATCCATCCATCCATACATACATGCTTACGTTACCTTACCTTACCTTACCTTACCTTACCTTACATACATACATACATACAAACATACATACATACATACATACATTAATTACATTACATTACGTTACGTTACGTTACATTACATTGCATTACATTACATTACGTTATGTTTTTCTCGCATCAAAACCTCCAAGGCGAGTTTGGGAATTTCATGGAATTTCCCATACTGACAGCACCCAGGACCTTTATCCTCATCAGCTGAAAGCCTTGCACTGGATGATACAGCAAGCAGCTTGGGTCCTTGCGAAGGGGCAACCGAGACAGGCAACGTTGGTTAACTATCATGTATAATTCTATATATACATATGCGTATATATATATATATTATGTATATATATATAATCATATATATATATATATGTGTGTGTATGTATGTGTATTTATATATATATATATACATACGTGTAGGCGAACTAGGACAACTAGGATGTATTGTGATATATCTATAGTCAGATGTTCCGCTTTGGAAAAGGAAAGGACAATTTCACGTCTACTGAGGAAAAACATACAGGGCTGAGTTCCAGGCTTTGGCCTCATACAGGAGCCTTTATTTCCATGTGTTGCTACGACATCAACAGCCATATTCCGAGCTTGACGCTTTCCACACTTCCATGTCATGGCCAATTGACAAGACATCCAAGTTGACAAGATGATCGCGGATTTAACTTCAATCCGAGTAGTTGGGAAACGTGTTTTATTTTTTTGCCGAGGCCATTTTCATACCAATTTCCTCACCGTGCGTTGCCGAAGTGCCAAAAGTTGATGGTCAAAACCTATTAATACATTATCATACCATGTTTGCAATAATTAGGAGGACATCCATGAACATCCATGATGTTCAATGTTCATGATTCACCACAGTCGCATATATCTATGGCGAACCAACAACTAATCATTTGTTTGCCAGCTAAACATTGACCATACAAGATGTACATGTCAATGGCGCCCCAGGAGAGATCCCTAACCGTTGCCGAAAAGTTGACCGACGTCGTGGACCGCGGTGACAGCGCTGTTCCAGCGGTCAAGGGGAAGAAGAAGACGGAAACGTCGACGGCGCAAACATTTTTTTGGACCAAAGACACGTCCAAAGGTGGGGATGGCCGGGATGGATCTCGATTTGGTGCTGTTGGTTGATCCCATTTGATATAATGTGCTTGGGATGAGATGACAGGCTTGAGGCCAAACAAAATGGGCAAAATCGGTACAGTGATCTATTGAACTCTGATGAGGAACTGTGCCAAATAGATCCAAATAGTCGTGTTCGTGGTTTCTTAGATGAATGCGACTGCCAAAGTTCGGGGTTTGAAGCTTGACATGGATCAGTTTTGATATCCCTTCCTTCGGCATTGTAATTATAATTATATACTGGTAGTTTTGTCGTGATTGGCCATTTTGTTTCTTGGCTGGTGGTTTCAACATGCGTCAATAAAGGGCCCACCAGAGAATAGAAAATAGCAGAATATAGTAGAACGCTATCAAAGTAGTCTGGAGTACATTGGAATGTCACTGGAATATTGTTGTTCCTGCATCATTTGTTTGGGAACGCGTTGGCCCTGATGCAGAACCTACAGAATTGGTTGACAGTCACCATCGACCTTCTGCAGGCTATGTGATCTACAAGAACTTGGCCACGAATTCGGCATCTCGGCATCAAGGGCCCTGGTATGCCATCAAGCGATGATGTTGCTTCAGCCATAGACCTGGTTGCAACGTGCAAGACATTGGTCTTGTTATGTCTTGTTATCAAAAACAAATTGCACAGCCGCCTCCTTAGATTTTACTATACGACGTGATGTTATCTTATATAATATTATTTCTGAAAATGACCCCATCAATCATCCGAAGAAATGTTAATGGTTCGGATGGTTCGGAGCGATGGGCATTCCCAATGAGAAATCGTGGAGCCAAGGAGCTTAAGCTGCTTAGATTTTCCCAACGTGATAATATGACATAATTATCCCATGATGCCATGCATATCCGCATATCCCCACAAATTTCTATATTTATATATATATATATATTTCTCTGAATTTCCCATGATAATCATGAAAAACAAAATCACATAGTGATTCTCCCCATATTTTCCGATGATTTGCCCATGAACACCTCCATTGATAGGTGGGTTTTCCCATCGTTTCTTGCCATGGCCCGCCCTACTGGTCCCGCCCAGGCCTTCCGGCAGGCGCCCAAGCTGCCACGCGGCGGGATCCTGGCGGATGACATGGGCTTGGGGAAGACCATCACGACCATCGCACTGCTGCTGGGATGGTGGAAGAAATGATGGTGATGGTGGGGGTTACCTAGGGCAGATATCAAAAATGCTTCAACATTGAAATGAAACTGAAGTTGAAGAATGATATTGAAGAAACATGAAACATGAGACATGCTGAAACACATGAAACAAGGGAACAAGTCGAAAACCTGGCAATTAAAATGTGGGAAACGCGATGAGAGAAAGAGAGATAGAGACGAGAGAGAATGCGACTCTTGAAACAATGGACGAACGACTTGGATGGAGATGGAAAAAGTCTCACTACAGTGGCAGGTGAGGATTGAATGGGTTTGAAGCCCTGGTAAGAAGACCATGGTGCATTGCTGGCCCGTCCAAAAAATGGATGGAACCGCAAAAATCCGAAAAAGATCCGAGGGCTCTGGTTTTTGTTGCCTTTGGGTTCTCAATCTCAGCAGCTTCAGGATGCTTGCCAAGATGGACGACGCGAAGCGTTCTTGTCGTGGTACAGGTGCCATGGGAGGATGGGATGGCTCAATATTATCGCCCCCATTTGTACCGCCCATACCTGGTGAAAGCCCTAAGTTGTCTCAGGCAGCACTTTGTTGTCTCATCTCGGTGTGCCATGCGGAAGATGTGACACAACCATTGGAATGGAGTTGTCATTTGGTATGATCTTTACAGCACAACGCATAGGCACGCAAGGATTCTTAACATTGCAAACATTAGTTATATATATCCATTTGCCTCCCTAACAATCCCTGGGTTACTTTTATGGAGTTTAGCGGTGTCTTTTGGCTTTTGGTAGAATGGTATATTGTTACAAAATGAGGTTTAGACAAGCTCAATTCAATCTGCAAAGATCAGCAGATGCGCGAATGATTGGGCACTTTGGCCCAAGATTGCTTTGATTGGTGTTTCAATGGCAATGGAACCCCCCCGCAAGAAGCGATCTCGCAATGATGGGGTAAGCCCTTTCTTGTCTCAGATAGCACTTTGTTGTCTCATCTCGGTGTGCCATGCGGAAGAAGTGACACAACCACTGTAATGAATTACTACATGATTTGTTATTTGGTATGATCTTTACAGCACAACGCATAGGCACGCAGGGATTCTTAACATGGCAAACATTAGTTGTATCAAGTTATATCCATTTGCCCCCTAACAATCCCTGGGGCAACGTGAGTTTCCCACACAGTGTGTACACACTCGGGGGTCTTGTGATCGGTCCTCCTCCTCCTCCTTTTCCTCCTCCTCCTCCTCCTCAGCATCATCATCTTCCTCCTCCTCCACATCATCATTCTAAGCATCATCCTCGTCCTCCCCCTTGACATCATCATCCTCCACATCATCATCCTCCACCTCATCTTCTGCGACATTATCCTCCTCCACCTCATCTTCCGGACCTTATTGCTTGGATTTTTCGAACCTATCCACATCGTTTTTACCATTTACAGTTTTTGATCTGACGTGGGGATACGTGGGGTGGGTTCTGGCTGGGATGGCAAAATGTAATTCCGGTACCTCGTCTGGTATCTCGTCCGGTACCTCGTCCAAAAACCTTTCCAGAGTCATGATTCTGGTATTACATCCATATTCCATATGTCTCGGATTCCGTTACAGCAGGGCAGGGTGTGATTTCAATGCGATTAATTTCAAACTTTGTTTGTGAAAGTCATCCACTCGCCTGCAAGTGTGCCATTGGGGTTTTGGCCCTCATGAGAATGGACACCCTTTATTTTGTTTCTTTTGGAAATACCAGAATGCAAGCTGGCGATGCTGTTTCAATGCTTGGCTAAGCTTTTGACCTGGAATTGCTTGCGCCATTGGGATTTGCCTCCAAGTTGACAGGTCGCACCTTCCCATTTTCTGATTCCGGGCATAGCTAAATGCAACTAGGGACATGATTCAAAGTTTGCAACGACTTCGTGAAAGTCTTCCACTCTCCTGCAAGTGTGCCATTGGGATTTTAGTTTTTTTTTTGAGAATGGACACCCTTTAATTTGTTTCTTCTGAAAATACCAGAACGCAAGCTGGTGATGCTGTTTCAATTCTTGGCTAAGCTTTTGACCTGGAATTGCTTTTGGCGGTGTGCCATTGAGATTTGACTCCAAGTTGACAGGTCGCACCTTCCCATATTCTGATTCCGGGCATAGCGAAATGCAAGCTAGGAACATGATTCAAAGTTTGCAACGACTTCGTGAAAGTCTTCCACTCTCCTGCAAGTGTGCCATTGGGATTTTCATTGTTTTTTGAGAATGGACACCCTTTATTTTGTTTTTTGGGAAATACCAGAACGCAAGCTGGCGATGCTGTTTCAATGCTTGGCTAAGCTTTTGACCTGGAATTGCTTTTGGCGGTGTGCCGTTGGGATTTGACTCCACGTTGACAGGTCGCACCTTCCCATTTTCTGATTCCTAGATAGCTAAATGCAACTAGGGACATGATTCAAAATTTGCAACGGCTTCGTGAAAGTCTTCCACTCTCCTGCAAGTGTGCCATTGGGATTTTATTTTTTTTTGAGAATGGACACCCTTTATTTTGTTTCTTTTGGAAATACCAGAACGCAAGCTGGCGATGCTGTTTCAATGCTTGGCTAAGCTTTTGACCTGGAATTGCTTTTGGCGGTGTGCCATTGGGATTTGACTCCGAGTTGACAGGTCGCACCTTCCCATTTTCTGATTCCTAGAATAGCTAAATGCAACTAGGGACATGATTCAAAGTTCGCAACGACTTCGTGAAAGTCTTCCACTCTCCTGCAAGTGTGCCATTGGGATTTTAGCTTTTCTGAGAATGGACACTCTTTATTTTCTTTCTTTTGGAAATACCAGAACGCAAGCTGGTGATGCTGTTTCAATTCTTGGCTAAGCTTTTGACCTGGAAGTGCTTTTGGCGGTGTGCCATTGAGATTTGACTCCAAGTTGACAGGTCGCACCTTCCCATATTCTGATTCCGGGCATAGCTAGATGCAACTAGGAACATGATTCAAAGTCTGCAACGTCTTCGTGAAAGTCTTCCACTCTCCTGCAAGTGTGCCATTGGGATTGTAGCTTTTCTGAGAATGGACACTCTTTATTTTCTTTCTTTTGGAAATACCAGAACGCAAGCTGGTGATGCTGTTTCGATGCTTGGCTAAGCTTTTGACCTGGAATTGCTTTTGGCAGTGTGCCCTTGAGATTTGACTCCAAGTTGACAGGTCGCACCTTCCCATTTTCTGATTCCAGATGCTAAATGCAAGCTAGGGACATGATTCAAAGTTTGCAACGACTTCGTGAAAGTCTTCCATTCTCCTGCAAGTGTGCCATTGGGATTTTTTTTTGAGAATGGACACCCTTTATTTTGTTTCTTTTGGAAATACCAGAATGCAAGCTGGCGATGCTGTTTCAATGCTTGGCTAAGCTTTTGACCTGGAATTGCTTGTGCCATTGGGATTTGCCTCCAAGTTGACAGGTCGCACCTTCCCATTTTCTGATTCCGGGCATAGCTAAATGCAACTAGGGACATGATTCAAAGTTTGCAACGACTTCGTGAAAGTCTTCCACTCTCCTGCAAGTGTGCCATTGGGATCCTAGTTTTTTTTTGAGAATGGACACCCTTTAATTTGTTTCTTCTGAAAATACCAGAACGCAAGCTGGTGATGCTGTTTCAATTCTTGGCTAAGCTTTTGACCTGGAATTGCTTTTGGCGGTGTGCCATTGAGATTTGACTCCAAGTTGACAGGTCGCACCTTCCCATATTCTGATTCCGGGCATAGCTAGATGCAACTAGGAACATGATTCAAAGTCTGCAACGACTTCGTGAAAGTCTTCCACTCTCCTGCAAGTGTGCCATTGGGATTTTAGCTTTTCTGAGAATGGACACTCTTTATTTTCTTTCTTTTGGAAATTCCAGAACGCAAGCTGGTGATGCTGTTTCGATGCTTGGCTAAGCTTTTGACCTGGAATTGCTTTTGGCAGTGTGCCATTAACATTTGAGTCCAAGTTGACAGGTCGCACCTTCCCATATTCTGATTCCGGGCATAGCTAGATGCAACTAGGGACATAATTCAAAGTCTGCAACGACTTCGTGAAAGTCTTCCACTCTCCTGCAAGTGTGCCATTGGGATTTTAGCTTTTATGAGAATGGACACCCTTTATTTTGTTTCTTTTGGAGATACCAGAACGCAAGCTGGTGATGCTGTTTCAATGCTTGGCTAAGCTTTTGGCCTGGAATGGCTTTTGGCGGTGTGCCATTGGGATTTGACTCCGAGTTGACAGGTCGCACCTTCCCATTTTCTGATTCTGGGCATAGCTAAATGCAACCTAATAACATGATTCAAAGTTTGCAACGACTTCAAAACATGATGCATCTGAGCCGCTGTGCCTTGGGGATTTGACACCTGGGGTAACTACTGTCTGCCCTGGGGTAACTCGGTGTGCCTTGCGGTTGGGGTAACTAATGGGTAAATGGGGTAACTTAGGGCGTTTGCTAGTATGTTCCAATTTTGGTTTGGCACCCAGTAAACGAACATAGATGTGGAACATCAACCTTTTGTAAATCCTTTTCTTTATAAGACATGGATTTTCCACAATATATACCCTCTGGTAATTTAACATAGCTATTGAAAATCACCATTTTTAATGGGAAAATCCACTATTAATGGTCATTTTCAATAGCTACGTTAAATTACCAGAGGGTAGTTTATCTAAGGGTACTGGGTACTCCTCGGGGGATCCCAAGGATCTCCAAGCAGTACAGCCCCCGTGTCCGTGTCAGGTCAAAACTTGGTGGTTTGCCCGCTGTCGGTGCTTTACAACTGGTCGGAACAGCTGAAATTACACGCGCCTGGGCTCAAGACGCGTACCTATCATGGGAAAGACAGATGCTTGGTGGCAACTGAGATTTTTTATGGTGCCTGGTTTCAGCAAACAGCATAAACAGCAAAGGTGTATTGTAATTGCAAATATATATGTGGAAATCGTAAACCAAAAGAAGATGATAGATAATGTGATGATAATGTCATGATGTTCCTGGTTTGAAGTGTTTTTCCATATTTTTCATGTTCCATCACCATTAGACCAGTCGGGTATCCCATGGTGACATTCTGGTCCAAAGCTCCCATGGTTTGTGGCCAGAAACGCTGTCCTTTGTCCTTTTTTTAATGTGGCTTGCCAGAAGTAACGTTTTTTTCATGAGGTGATAGATTATATTCCTACACTTTGGGTGGCAAGATGTGGCAAGGAACACATTTTGGGGTGAAAGTTGCTCTACAATCAAGCCAGTGGTTAATGGTATCAATCAAGATTTATATAATTCCATACCTCCCCTGTCCTTGATGTAAGACATTGATTCGTCAAGTCCACATGTTTGTAAAGTCCACATGCTTTTGATTACTGTATAGCTACCATTCTCATTGTATCCAACTTCTCCAGAACCCAAACAAAGCTAGAACGATTCATCGTCATGAAAATGGTAGGATTCGTAACACGGTGATGCCCCCTAGTTAAAAAGGTCCATAATTCATCATGAACCCACAGTGCCGCGGACAGCCCAGAAAAGGTCTGACGCAAAAAAACGATTAAACAAAAACAGCTCCACAACGCTGGGATTTGGATCTCTAAGGAGACCGTTCCGCTGGAAGTTTTCTGCTGCACGATGTCACCTTGACCACCTACGCGGCTGGGCGCTGAATGGGGCCATATCAAATGTGGTAAACCCGGCGCTGGCATGATGCACAGTATTCATGGGACAAAAATGGGATCAGAATGGAAATGGAAATATTAGTGGATAACGGGATAATATGGGATAATATGGGATAATAATGGTTGATGGCTTGAAACCCATTAAACAGAATATACAGTAATTAAGGATTTAATAGCCAGACATGCGTGTTTTAGTGCAGCATTTATGGTTTCATGATATATACCGTACTAGGCAGTAAAAACCCGGCAACCATTGAAAGGTATTTAATCCAATTAATGTTTCGGGATATGGTTTTAAAATGTGGTTCATGCTCTAACACGGGTTAGGTACTTTGGAGATAGTCTATGATCTTCACAGCGTAACCAACTGGGGATACAGCCAATAATACGTAAAGCTGTGACCGGGTGGATATTCTTGTGTCACTTAAGCAGCAAACATAAGAAAAGTTTGGACGGGATGAATACACAATATGAACCGCATATTATTTATATGCTTGATTTAGAATGAATTTTGCCACATTTGGCATTGATTGGGTAAACCCTGTATATCATGCGTAGTAGATTAGTAGGTGCCTCTCCAAAAAGTCGGATGGGCTAGCTCCGGTACCGTTACAATGGGAAAGTCCAAAGCACCTTATAAGCAGAGATAAATGGAGGTTTGAACGGAAAATCCTCTATAAATTGAAGATGTTGCATTGCCATGTTTACCGGAGGGTATGTTTAGCAGTGAATTACTTGGTTATTGTGAGTATGTTTAGTTGGTGACCAATGGCTATGGCCATCTTTGAGGTCAGCAAGGTGGATCTTGCATTCAACTTTTGTGGTTTTACGTAGCGTAAACCAAGATCCTAAAGGAATCTTAAAGGAATCTTAAAGGGACACTACCAGGAGCAAAATTTCCACCAATTCTGACACCCAATCACAGCAAGACTTCCCCACAAATTCCAGACAATCCGTAGTTTGAGACCAAGAATAATAAAGTAGTAAAAACATGGTGTTCTGAAGTAGGCTCAATAATGAACCATTGAACCTTGGGCGGTATAAAATCGGCATATAAACCATTATAAACCCCCATTGGAGATGATGGTTTGCGTGACCCCCAGTGGTGGTGACAAAGCGATGGTGACCCCAGAGGCCGTGCATTCCGCCACCGAGGATATCGTGCGTTCAGAGTTGAAAGACAGCAGCACTGGACTGGGCAGTGTGAAATGGTACCGTGCTGTGTTGGATGAAGCACATGTGATCAAAGGTCACAAGCAGGCTGGGAATTGGGGTGGAGGTTATTAAAATTTTCTGGGGACAAGCCCATCAGACAGGTAGGATATGATATGTTCATCCAATTTCAGCCAATAGTTGATCACATATTCCATGAAATGAAATCTCCATTCATTTTCAAAAACCACCATGGTAAAATGGTATCATGGTAACGCGAGGCTCGACTCTCTTTTCACCTCAAGAAAGGCTCGACTGAATTCGGCCCCCTATGAAGGAGTATAATCGTCATAGTCTCCAAATTCACATGGCAATTTTCTGGGTTTTACTATACCCTCCGGCATCCTCAAACTATAATGGAGGTTCGAGCTGGGAAAATCATCGAACGAAATGGGGAATTTTCCATTGCCACAATCAAGTATTCAAAACATTTTGGGGGGTGTTGAAGTTTGCTTCGAATGACAGCGAATGAATCTGCATCATTTTGGTTGATCATAGGGGCCCCCATTGACCAACCCATATGGGATGCTAAAGATAGATTGCCCAATCAGAAGGCCCAGCTTGATAGGGGTTGTTTATCGTTGAGCTAACAATCAGATCTATGGTGGATATATATATATATATACATATCTATGGTGGACATATATATATATATGCATATGATGTTGATGATGATGATGATGCATGATGTATGATGTATGATGATTGATGATGATGATGATGATGATGATGATGATGATGATGATGATGATACTGGAATGTATATATATATACAACATATACATGAGACACATTTGCAGTTGGGTGGGTGCAGTTGTATGGGTGAAACAAAACCAATTGACAATTCCAAGAAATGGATGGGATGAAGGAAGGTCGACCAGAGAAACCTGAACAAATTGGCCGTCTTAGAACGGCTCAAAACATTGTAAAAAAATAATATGGCAGCCATGGTTTCCTGCCGATTCTTCAACCAATCCGTTGATTCGTTGGGCGCTGCACAGGCCACAGCGCAAGCTGTCTTCCAGCAACTTGGTCGCATTGATCTAAAGATATCTAAAGGCTTTCTGGAAACCTGGGCATGGCTTTTCATTACCGCCGCCAATGTCATGTGTTCCTGCATTTTTTTTACTTTAGCGAGATCAGGGAATCTCCGAGTAATGAATCATTGGACCAAGCGACTGGGGAAGCCTTTGGATTCATGGACCATGGAGACATGAAGAAGGAATCAAGAGAGGAAAACATGGGATACATAGTATTGCATATTTTCATCTACACATATATATATATATATATACATGACTATATATATGCATAGATGTATACATACATCTATGCATTGTCACTTTGAAAGATTCGCAGGAACCTGCAGCATGAAGATAGCGATTTGCCTAGTTGCCTCTCATAGGTTGAGTCTAGTTGGCAAGCGTCCAAGGTAATTGTCTGTAAAATTATGACGCTGGTTTGTGAAGGGGTATTTTGCCTTTGCTCCTTAGCTGTTTCAATATGTTTCGAGTATCAAAACCTGGGCATGTAGTGGAAAGATGATTTTCCTTTTGCAGACGATACGGGTCCGATAATTGCATTCCCCGGTTGCCCCAACATTTGGTGATCAATCCTCATCATCTTCCATATTGAAACTGCCATGTGGCGGGCATACCCGTTTTCAGACACACACACACACCAAAAAACATTCTGTTGATGTGTTATTAATATCCCATTGTTTTTTTTCAGTATGTATGTTTTAATATACATCTATGTACCCCATTACAAATCCCAATAGATTATAGTATATTACTGAATGTATGATATGTACATATATTTGTGCTATATAGATGATATACCTATATATATATATGCACATACATATATATATATATATTATATATATTATGTGTGTGTGGATCTACCTCTCACATTCATTGTGCCCTGTTTGGCTATCTCCTTGCCATGTTAGGCTGGTGAAGGCTGAGTGCAAGTGGTGCCTTTCCGGGACGCCGATCCAGAATTCCGCGGAGGATTTGTATTCCTTGGTACCTTGGCACATCGCAAAAATCTGTGGATTTTTTGACAGGGCAGGATTTATTTTTCACATAGCTATGGAAATAATCTAATTATTTAGTTTGATGATTTTGATGGCTATGATGATGTTTCGTACCCTGGGGTATTAAAAAAAAAACTAGATGTGGAAAGTCAGCACACCTAATCATCTAATCATCTAATCTATGTCAGTTTACCCTAGGGAATCTTCATAAACCAAAACTCAACTGGCCGTTTTCCATAGCTATGTTAAATGACCAGGCAGTATGATATGCAAGGTGTCCCACAGTTGGGATAGCTTGGTTGGTTTCCTTCACCTGGTGCTGGGAAGGAAACCAACTAATGGACCAACTTCTCACGGAGGACACCACTATGCTGATGGGTTATCAAGTGGACAAAAACCATTCAAACTGTTAAGGTGCTTGGGCATAGTGACCTCATTGTTTGACCTCACCAACAATGATGATTTAAGTATTGCTGAGGATTAGGGGCAACACCGGCAAATTGGCCAGCATTTCAGTTGTTTGGAGAGAAATCAGTTGTTTTCCTCATTTTTGGGTCTAAACATCACCTTTGGTTTGCTGTGTATTTAATCAGTGGAAATTGAAGATGACCCGATCCATCAGAATGCGCAAACATGGGTTGAGAATGCGCAATTTTTTTTTGTGATTTGGGATCCCCAAGTCACCATACGTCACGTGCCAATAAATATTAAACTCATCTATATAATGACATCTAACGACTTGGATGGCTTGGTGTAGCCCCATGACTTAGGAAACCTCCGCATTTTGGCCATGCAACCCTATTGCCCATGCAGTTTGCCGGGTTTAGCACATTGACAAGCCCTTTAAATAGAGATTTAGCTACCACAAACCCTAGTTGAAATAATTGTAAAGCGACTTAGCGGAGTCCGGGGCACCACTTTGCAAGTGTCTCATGTTGGAAGAGTCCACACAAACCCTTCAGCGTCCAATTTCTTATCCCGGGGACAAGGGACGAGTTCATCCCCAGGCACGGTTCTTGAAACTGGAACCCTTCGATCAGTTTGATTGGCTGCTGGGCATGGTCATTGACCGCCGGATGAATTTCAATATAATATATATATATATATAAATAATATATATATATATGTATAATTATATATATATATACACACTCACATACACTTACATAGTTCAAAGAACACCCTGAAACATGAAGAACCAGAACTTCCGCAACAAAATCCATTATGCTTAAGTGCTTCAATTGGTTTATATGAAATTTTGTTGAGATGTTTTCTTTCTGAAAGATCTGAGACACCCCAACTTGACACACTTCTTCAGAATGTCTTGGACACAGGGTGGTGGCCACCTTGGGTGGATAGTCTATCCGGCTGGGATCACTGAGGATCATCTGGGGCTAGAGGTTTATGAATATATATATATACTGTATATATATATAAATATATAATTAGATATTATATATATTATATTACACATATATACATATGATTAAATATATTATATTTATATATATATATCAATTCAGGGTTGACATTACCATAATTTCAGTCACTTGTGCCACTGTGTACCTTTTTCATCGTCACTGGAACGTGTACTATGTTCAAAGAGCAGGAATCCTCCAGATATTCACGTTTCTTGACATGTACTTACGCCACTTTATTTGAAAGGCATTGATTCTATGTTTACGCGCCCAAATATATAACCCAAACTGTAAAGCTGCTGCTTCGCAAAAGGGGCCAAGAAAACAGTCACTGGTTCAAAGTATACCAGAAGTATACACCACTTCACCGTTCCAGGTGGCTGGAAAATGCATAGAGGTTTTAATGGGAACAGCAGCTACACATGAAGAATTGTCACTTGCTCTATGTGATTACCGGAGGGTAGTGATTGGGATTTGTCGATCTTAATGTGTTGCAAAAATCCAATCACCAACTATCTGATTCATGAATGTGATTGTAACATATACCCAACCGCTTACGTTTCTGAAACGCTGCTAATCATCATGTCGTCGCGTATGATGTTTTTAAAGATGCCAGGCCTCAAGGCTGCTGGTGGGTCGTACTGAAACCCTTGTCTGACATGGAATCCAAATCAAACAGATTCTAAAATATTGATCTACAATGAATCTACATACAAGATCATACAAGTATAAACATATAAAATCATGTTGAATCCTTTGTCAGGGACCCCATGTCGAGATCCAGGCTTCAAGTTTCCGAGCTGCTGGTGGATTCACATTGGGGACGGACTGAAACTACCAACGAACCATGCAGAAATCCACAGAGGTTGGATCAATGTCCCACCAACTTCTCCAACTTCCCCAGCCTTCCGGACCTCGCTGCTCAAAGCACTAGGTGGTGGTTGTATATGTATACATATATCATATATATATATATACATGGTTTATAATTACAAGTTGCTTTATAAAGCCACCTGACTAGAGCTATTTCATCGCCATAAGCTCTGGGTAATCTAGTGATGTTTGCCGAATCGCGATCTGGTGCGATCTCAGGTTCAATCGTACCATCCTGCGACCTTTGAAGAATCGCGATGCGGTGGGCTTCGAACGTTTGCAGGTCCTACTGCGCAGCTGGTGCTTGCGACGGACCAAGGCGATGAGGATCAAGGCCACGGTATGGCCGGGGGTGCCCCAGTGATGATAACGAAGGTACCCTCTGGTTATGACGTAACATAGCCATAGGAAATGACCCATTTATAGATGGTTTACCTATTAAAAATGGTGATTTTCCATGGCTATGTTAGTCATAACCAGATGGTACTTAGTTTTTGATGTTTTCAGGGAGAATGATCCAATATGATCGTCCCGGGGGCCAGCTGACAGGCATCCCGCGTGTCATATATCGTATCAATTTTTTGGTCAATATTCCAATAGAAAGCGAATTTAATGCAAGTGAGCAAGTGTGCAATCTGGCCCAAAGGGTATATCCCATTAATATCCCATTGAATCACTATAAAATCCCATTAAATCACTATAAATCCTCAGCGCGCAGCAAACCATCTTCTTCTTCAGCGCGCAGCGCAGCAAGTCGGGTGCCAGGACCCAAACTCTGGACAGGAACGTCCTTTGCTTCTTTTGCCGCCAAAGTCTGTCGAAGTTTGCCGAGTGCCCTTGGAGTCGGGTGACCGTGGCTTGGAGTTCAAGTTGGAATATCATGGCCAAACTGGGTAAATTAAGCTTTGGTAATCAAACATGGCAATGGAAGATTTGCTATCTATACAAATTCAGAGGCTCTTTTCCTCTAAAACGTGTTTTTCCTGTTGCGGTATTTGATTTGCTGAGGGGTACTCTACTGCATGTTTTCCTTTAATTTGACATGCTCCAGTTGCTCAATTTCTCCTGTATGTGGATGCTAGTGAAATTCCGCATGCCAGTTTGCAGATGACAAATACAAAGTAATGAAAGACATAAGTCAGAAGTGGTTGGAGCGTCCATCACCTTCTGCCTCATTCCACAAAAAATCCTCAATATTGTGGCCACAGCGAAAATGGGGTATGCCCCCAAAATGGCCATGGAATGGCGACGATGAGGCCCTAAATGGGCATCAAATAATGGCGATAATGGGGATAATGAAAATAAAGCATCAGGAACCTGGCATGTAGCAGCTACAGGTAGCACGCCACAAGATTCACAACCGTATGACGGGATATTACGGGCAACGTTCGAAACTTGTGCTATCTTCATGTGCATTCCTATCATTATCAAACGGATGATGTTATCAAATGACATGAGGAGTTTGTCACCCAAAACATGTATTCGGCCATCACTTCAGAGTTGGCTGGGTATGGCTCTCAAAGTCCGTTTTGTCAAGTCAGAATCTTTGCGTTGGCCGAAAGTGTCTGATCTCAAATTTATGTATATATATAATTTGCATTTGAATCATCATATATTAAATGCTACTTTGAACAGTGCATATAGTTCACCAGTGTTTTTGAACAATTTATCGGGTTTGCAGTTGTAAGATCGTGCGAGTGTTTTGGGATCCCAGCTGCCCTCTCCGTTTCTTGCACCCTTGGAGACTTGGTTTCAGACATGCCATGGCTCCCCGCAATTCTTCATAGCCGTAAGCTCCCTAAAAAATTAGACGGGAACCTTCAAAAAATGAAATATGAGGTTTGTAAGGTGATTTTTCCACAAGAAATTGTTCATTTTGGTCGGGTTGGGTGAGTTACGGAGGTGAAGCGATGATTTAAGCTGTACCGCAGGGCAAGCCTGCCAGGTGTGCTCTACGATCGCCTCTTCAACTGTGCCAGCGAACGCGTGAAGGAAATGGAAAGCCGCAGCCAGCTGGGCCAGAACTTCTCTCAGGTTTCGCGGCAATCGATGATGGGTGGAACTTGTGCATCTTGAAAAATGGCAATCCCACCGGCCCAACTGAGATCCCGTTATTTATTATTTTGGGATCCCAAAATGAAGAGATTCAAGGTGAAACCGGGGTTTCAGGGGGATGGGATTGCAATGATACGTGCTTGAACCTTAAATAAATTAGGGAATCTGACAGATCCAAATAAATAATCGACTCTTATAAGCATATAAGCAACTAGGCATGGGGTGGTTATTGGTTTCACATGGCTTATAAATATCTTATAATTATTGCCACAGCAAACACAGCCAATTTGGGTCTCATGCATCGGCGAAAGCAACGTCAGGTGCTGTCACTTCTGACACGTTTGCGGCAGCTCTGCTGCTCCACCACTTTGCTGCCTGAAAAGCTCCTGAGCGAGCTGGCAAACGGCACAGGTGGGGCACATGTTGAGAAAGCGTGGCAGCTACCCAGCTGGGTAGCAACCATTGTTACTTACATGCAGTTACAAATTCCCGTGCTTTGGGCTTATCGCAGATACTGATTCAAATAAACATTCGTGGTTGGTTTGTAACACAAGTCAGTTTGTCGGTTTGCCCTCTTGGGTCATATGTCAGTGAGTGTCTGACTAGCACAATAGTCCCTCAGCAGATTATCAATGGTTTGCATTGTCTTGCCATGTAGGCTATAAAGGTCTATAAATCCCATATATATCCATATATATATATAAATATCCATATATATATATATATATATATAAATATCCATATATATATATATAAATATCCATATATATATATACATCCATATATATATATATATATCCATATATGATATATCTCCCATTTTTGCCCGGTTTTTAACACTTCTTTGACCTGCCCACCTTACGCGTTTCCTTCCACGCGTGTCCTTTGTTGCGCAGGTGACGTGGATCGCGTCTTCCAGGCCGCCGTGCAGGCGCTGGGCAGCTCCAGGGTGGAGGATTTGCTGCGGAACTTGGCGGAGGCACAGGAGGACGACTGCGCCTTGGATCGGAGATCCCTATAGGCTCCCGCCACGGGGCGTTGTTACGCCTGTTGATGTTGCCGCAAATGGTTATAATGATCATGGGAATGGTTGAGAATGATCATAGCTTTGTGACTTTGTGACATATAGTTATTAATAGTTGATAGTTAATCAATGGCCATTTCAGTGAGGCCTATTTTTAGGCTCTGTAAGGGGATCTGCCCCCAGAATATGACTTTCTATGGTACACTACATCCATTTTAGGGCCCTGACTTGATATTGGTTAACCAATGGTTGATATTGCGCAATAAAGGTTAATGATGCTTGGTATATGTTGATAGCACGCTGTAGTGCAACATTTTGGGGGTGACACATAGGATTTTTCCGTGAAACATTGGGATTTAGCCGGCAACGATGGTTGGTAGAATTGACGATGGGATACATGATACATCTCACTGCGACATCGCTCGAATTGATGGCAAATTAATGTAGGGGGGGCATCCCCAAATGGACGGTAACTATCCGCAATTTAATTGAATCTGGTGGGCAATGCTTGGCGAACAGTTCCCCCAACAATTCACGACATATAGCTTGGCACGTGAAATAAAGAATGTTTAAGTTGAGTTAAGCTGGTGGTGAATGGTGAAAGAAAATTGTAGCACAAGACTAAGCCAGGGAGGTGGGCAATTTTTTCAACAATCGATAAAGATGCGTGTAAACCAACTCGAGTTGAGGATAAGGAACTTAAGGCACCAAATGATAGCTTCAGATTTACCAACGACATGGAGATGATAAATCCACCCATCTGCCGGACATTGGTGGTCAACCGGTCAATCAGTCAGGACCAATCCACTGGTTAAAATCCCCTGGGTACAGCAACCATGAAAGAGGTTTACAACCCAACTTACCAACCACGGTTGTTGGTCCATGGGCCAGTGGATCCCATTGGCTACGGCCCATTGGATACACTCGGGATGTCCTCATTTTTTATATCTTTTCTTGGCATGTAGGGATATGATATGTATGGATTACGTCACCTTTCTGATGCTTGGTTAGATCAGGTGTACAACTTATGTCCCATTGTTTTTGTTTCTTGTATATCATGTTCACTGCATGTAGCATCCCTTGAGGCAGTATCTGTATGGAGCCTACTTGCGACATTGTGACACGCTGTGGTCATGCAACCTGGCATTTGGCCTCTGACTTGATCTTGGGATCCTCGGAACCCCCAGAATGGATCAGAATCGGCGCTCGTTGGAGCCAGACAATCATCTGCCAAAAAGAATCTCTTAGAAACAAACGTTTCATATAGATATGTATATATATTAGCATGTGGCTCTACCAGGTTCTGGGCTGGGTTCTTTAGAATATATCTCTCTGCTCTGCCGGCTGCATCTGGATGGTTGTTTTATTGTTTGAAATTTGTTATTTAACTGTTATTTTTTTGTTATTTAATCGTTATTTTTTTGTTATTTAACTGGTTTTTTTTGTTATTTAATCGTTATTTTTTTGTTATTTAACTGTTATTTTTTCTGTTATTTAATCGTTATTTTTTTGTTATTTAACTGTTATTTTTTCTGTTATTTAATCGTTATTTTTTGTTATTTAACTGTTATTTTTTTGTTATTTAATCGTTATTTTTTTGTTATTTAATCGTTACTTTTTTGTTATTTAATCGTTATTTTTTGTTATTTAATCGTTATTTTTTTGTTATTTAATCGTTTTTTTTGTTATTTAACTGTTATTTTTTTGTTATTTAATCGTTATTTTTTTGTTATTTAATCGTTATTTTTTTGTTATTTAACTGTTATTTTTTGTTATTTAATCGTTATTTTTTTGTTATTTAACTGTTATTTTTTTTGTTATTTAATCGTTATTTTTTTGTTATTTAACTGTTATTTTTTGTTATTTAATCGTTATTTTTTTGTTATTTAACTGTTATTTTTTTGTTATTTAATCGTTATTTTTGTTATTTAATCGTTATTTTTTGTTGTTTTAACTGTTATATGTTGTATTATTTAACTGTTTTTTTTATGGTTAGAATTTGTTAGTTGATGTTTTGTTATTTTATTGTTTTTTTTGTTTAATGTGTTGTTTTCTTCTTTTATGTTTATTTAATGTTCTTTTAATTGTTATTTTCTGTTATTTGGTGGGTTGTTTCTCATTTGTTCTTTTCTATAGTTGCTGTGTTGTCTCAACTTTTGTTCATTGTTTGCGTCGTTGCTTTGCTGTGTGCATCTATGCTGCTATGCCTATCTCCTTGAACAAAATCATTACCATTTGTTGCTTTTTGCCTATGTGAGTGTTCCATTTCTTTGCTATTTAAGCATGTTTGCTTCTGTTATCAGAACTGTCTTGTTGATTGTGTAATTTGTTACGTCTTGGGTCCTTTCTGGACGCTAGTTTTCTTTTGCCTTGCTTGCTACCGTACAATAATAATAATTCTTCTCCATATGGCCTTAGCTGGTTTTGTTGTATTGATGATTTGCATCAACACCTGGCAATATTTGTTAAATTTGGATGATATCATATCAGTATTATAATATCGACACATACATACACTTATTCTTGCCATGAGCCAAAGCTGTCCAATGATCGCTGCGGGTTCGAACAATCATCTTGCCCCCCCAGCGTCACACTGATTGATATGGCATGCAGCGATGTGGGCGTATTTTTTCTTGTGGGATCGTATTGATTCCTGGTTTCCAGATGATATTTAGTAACATATGGTTCCCACAACTGTTTGACATATTACTTGATATGGTAGAGTTTAGCAAAACATAGTGATATGAAATGATGTGATATGGGCCTGGATTCGCGGCCTGGATCTTATGGTTTTTGAAATATGAGTACATGACCATGACGACACCGGGATACGGTATTTATACGCTGCTACTTGTGGCTTGTTTTGGGTTTATTTGTTTTCATGACATTGATGCCATTACTATTACCCAGCGCCTCCGACTTGGGAAACGTTGCTGCAGTTGAGCACAGCCTGCAATGTCCACTTGTGATCGGCGCTCCAACTTTGTTTGGTTCGAGCTGCCGTTGACCGGCATGCCGCTGCACCGGGGTATGTGTGCGACAAATAAAAGGATGATAATGATGATGTAATGATAATGATTCATGATGATACATGACTCATGACAATGATAATTATAAATTATATAATTATAATGATCATGATTCTGATTATGGCAGGTTGATGATTTATGATTATGACTCACAATGCAGGAATAATATGGAGTCATATGAGGCCTCAAAACAGTACGTATGATGTTTTTGTGATTATGAAGGTGGCTCTTTGACAACGAAACAGTTTATGCGAGTTGATTGGTTTCAGTTGATCTTACAGTGCACCACTTGTTGCTCACATATATTTCTTAATTCAGAATTCGCAATGGATGATGAGAGCGATTTCGATTTTCTTTCCTTGCTGAACGAAAACAATGAAGTAGAAGTTGCAGTGCTTCAGCCAGAAAGATGTGCCTTACCTGTGCAGCCAGCTCTTGTTCTGCCAGCTTGTGACAGTGAGCCACAGCGGGTGCAAGGGGCAACACCGTTTTCTCTGCCGAGCATGGTTGGCAAAGTGGGTTCTGGCAGGCATGGCCAGGGCTCAGATGCGAACATGTTAGCCTTGCATATGAGGCATTGCAAGACAATGCGCCGGGCACATGGCTTCCAGCAAGATGTTAGCGATCTTTTGTGCAATTCAACCTTCATGAAAGACGGCCAACTTGTATCTGTTCAAGCTAGACCTAGTTCCACCGGTCTGATTTTGAAGCTCCAGAATCGTTCGACGAAGGGCAACCGTTACACCAGAATTGTCCCATGGTCAAAATTCTTTCTGGCTTCATATGGCAAGTTGATTCGCAGCTCTCATCTGGCCATATCACTCAACGTGTCCAGATCCACAGTGAACTTTATGACGAATATGATGGGCTGTGTCTTCATGGGACAACAACTCGTACTTTTGACAAAGTTGATCCAGCTTGCGCGTGAGATGAAGCCAAAGATAGTAGTCCAACAGTTTAAGTGGGACGAGACAGCCCTCCTTTGTTCGGTGGACGCAGATAAATCAGGAAAACGGGTAAGATCTTCATGGCAGATTATGGTTGCCCGTCAAAGAATCGTGCTTGTTCTTCCGGATGGACAGACATTTGTTTTCCGATTGGTTCTGCCGCCAATTGTTCTGCTGGGAACCACTGCACAGGATATTTACTACGGAGTATTTCATCATCCGACCTTTTTCTCGACGAGAAGACTGATAGACATCCTGGCAAGTCACTGTAGATTCAAGTTTCAAGTGTTTGAATCAGATGGGGCTCCTGCGAACCTGCGATTGTTCGCGCATCTGCTGAACAGGAGTGATGAGGCTTCGCCACAGACCAAGAGCCACATGATCCACGTGCTTTGTCAGAACCATCAATCTCAGCTGATAACTGTCAGCCTCCTTGCACACGTAGGATCGAATTTGTTGAACCGACTGTACGGGATGACTACATTTATCAGGAATCTGGGTTACTTCATGAGGATGCGACAAGCCGTTGGCGATTGGATGGAGGAAAATCTGGTGTTTTCCCAACAAGTCATGGGAATCCCTTTGGGTAACTTTGTGACTCCAAACCCAGTTTTACTTGAGTTAGTGGATTATCTACGCCAAGGACGTAAAAATGAATCAGATGGTTCAGAGGCAGAGGCAGAGGTGTCTTCGGTGTTCGAAAAGAAAGCTGCGTTCTTTCTTGAAATGTTTAATGCCGAAGACCTTTCTGGTCGGCCTTGCCATGTGTGCAACCATTCAGCATGCGCAAGCCAAGACCGGCACTGCTATGACAGACAACAAGCCGTCCAAAAGTGTACGGAGGCACTGGTCGGCTTATTTCTATCTTCAATGCCGTCGATTCCATCGCCGAATAAGTGGACCACTCTATTCGCGCCTTTGTCTTTCGTTTTGGGGGGGTTCTTGGTATACCAGTGGCTGCCCGAAGTATTTCACCGGGCGTTCAAGGGCATGCCATTCGCTGAATTCAACAAGGCAGACGAAAGCACAGACCCTCGTTTAGTCGAGACCCTTTCGTTTCACGCAGTTACTTGTCTCAAGTGATGGTTGAAATTTTCAGTTGACATGCTTTAGGGGCTGGTATTGACTATGGCTCTGTCATTTGATCATGTAAACCACGATGTGGTGGAATGATACGATATGGCCCGACACTTCGAAAAAAACAACGATTGCAGGATAGTAGTTTATGATATGTTTGATTTTTTTGGGGCAGACTAAGGTCTAAGACAGTCTATATCATGTCATATGTCTGTCTATCATATCATTATCATATGGTTTGCGATACAGCCTTTAATTTTTGAGACAAAATGATATGATGTGATATGATTCGGTAATGATGGTTATGATATGATTCGATTCATGGTTAACTATTAATTAATGTTTTGATTTTACATGAGACATGATAGCAGCGGGAATGGTTCATGATTCCATATTCATATCATATCATATCATGTATCATATCATAGTATTTTGACGGAATTATGGTTGTAGTTTTGATCCTGATTATGATGACATGCGCATGATGATGAGATGAGTAATCAACTACCCATCTCAGCCCGAGTCGTACTAAACAATCTCAATTTCAAAAGTCACTTTTTTATATAATAGTATTATCTCATGTCGGTTACTTTCTTACATTGTTGGTTTACTGTACGGTTTGCTTGAATAGCGACAATCGTGGGGAAATGAGAGTTTAGAGTGCCATTTGTTAGTTTAATATTCTAAGATCCATATTTTTGTATAAATACACATTGCACTATTTGATTTGTTTTAAGGATGTGGTTGGTTTCAATCAACATTTGCATTTTCTTGTTTTGTTTGGAGTTTTGCCATCCTAGGTGAACGGGAAGAGATACCAATCATCCCTTCTTTTCCTGAGATGCCCGCAATCTCAGTGGGCATTGGCGCTGATGGCAGTGGCCATCGAAGGGTTCAAGGTCTTGACTCACTATTGGTCATCCTGCCTTGGCCAAAGTTTGCGTCCGGGATCACGACCACCACTCTTCAGAGTTTTGGACCCGAGGAGCAGTGTTGTTTTCCAGTGTCTTCAATATTTTGCATCTTTGCTCATGAGCGAATCGGGGGATGGAAGATTGCTGTTCCTTTGGGGCAGCAGCGGGTATGCTTCTTATGCTGACTTTTGTGCATGCTGCCCGGACCGTGTGAGAGAAATCCGTCGAACTCTCATGCTTGCATCAGGATGGATATACAGAAGGCACCATGCCTATCTTCACAGGGACACGTTCAGTCTTACCTTGGTTGGTGACAAAGACTGTAGTTTGGAAACTCGTGATGCCATGCTGCGTGCTTGGGACAGGAAACATGTATGCTGCGTGGCAGCAGGGATGCCACGGGATCTGAAGAGAGCAGGTGTAACATCATCAGATCTTATGACACCAGCTTGGCAGGAGGCAATGTACTGGACTGCATTCACCATGCAACTTTCTTGCGCAGACATCGAGTCTATGCACTCCCAAAACAGGGCAATGGCGGGTTCTGCATTTCATTCCATTGCCGCGCGTTACATCAACACGGAAGCACAGAGGTTTTCCAATGAGGCATTGGATTTGCAACAGGGGGTTTCCAAACCGGTTTCCGATCAGACTCGTGCTGGCAGGAAGGTCAAAGTTGCTGCCAACATCACTGTACAGGATTGCACAGGCAATAAACCGAACCTGAAAGCTTTGTCGCCTTTTGAACTTTTCAGGAAGAGGTACATTGAGCTTCATCAAACAACTGGTTTTGTCAATCCCTGCAGCAAAGAGTTTTGGAATGATGTGAAAGATCAGTGGAACAAATTGAGTCAGGAGGAGAAAGACATTTACCAAACATTGTCTGAACAGTCGCGTGTAGCCAGCCAAACTGCAAGAGCTAAGCGCAGAATTGATGATACACAAGAGACATCTGAGACAGTTGAAAGCACTGGTGAAGCTTTGGTTGTACAGCCGCCCCCTTTGCATGCGGTACATACGCAAGTGGTTCCCTTAACGGACCTTTGTGAGCTTGTTTCACGGCCCGAAGATCTTCAGAAAGCTGTATGTCAAACAATGAATCCTTCAAGTGTCCTTCCAAAATCGAGATACCCACTTGGGGAGGAAGCCTTGGAGCACGCATGGCGCACACAAAGATTGAAAGGTGTTTCTGGAAAAGAGTCAATCAAAAAGTTTCGAGTCGAGGCGGAGCGCATTGCTCGACCCAGTGAAGATGACGTATTTCCCAAGAAAGTTGTTAACCATAGCTGCTGTGGTTTACAATGCCGTCACTTTGCTGAGCGAACGCGCGTTGAACTGCATGCTGGGTTGCTTCAAAGGTTTCGAGACATTGTCTCATTCAAAGGTGGTGTCAAGCAGGTAGTTGAGTCTGACACCCTGTGTGGCTTGGCACTGACAGTTGTTTATGAAAACAACGCCCCTAACCAGATCAAAACGCACAATTCAAGTATAATTCACATCATTCACATCACATAATCTATTTGAGAAATAAATAAATTATTATATTATCAAATAATACATATAATAATAATATAATATAAAAATATAGATTAATATATAGATATATAATTAATATAATTATATAATAGAACTATATATATATAAATATATCAATCTAAAAAGCAAATATAATCGAATCATATCATGTCATATCACTGATCACATGTCACACATCAAACAAGTTATACCACATGTCACATATCACATGTCACATATCACATATTATCATGTCACATGTCACATATCATATCAAGTATCATTATTATTATTATTATCATCATGTATCATAATATCATAAATCAAACTACACATCGCATCTCACATCACACATCGTATGATTCAAATCAAGGATCATAGCAGACCTTATCACATTTCACATATCATATCTCATCCTTATCGGGCTCTATCAAATACCACTCACATTTCGCATCACATACTGCGAGTTACATTTATGTTATTTTACAGCTATACAGTAGTTATACAGTACATGTACATGTAATAAAATATCGTAATATAGTTTAATGTCTAATACGATATTGTATTTTTTTTAAATATATTTACTTTTATATTTATAATATAATATAATATAATGTAATGTAATATAATATAATACAATAATGTAATATATAATTTAATAAAATAACGCAATATAATATAATTTAATTTATAATAAAATAATGTAATAGAATACAATATAACAAAATATTATATGATATAACATAATATATAATATAATATATATATATACTTTAATATAATATAATATGATGTAATATAATATAATAATGTAATGTAATATCATTTCATATCATATCCTATCAAAGCATATCGCAACCATATCAAGCGCTTCATTCATGTCTGTATATGAATCTTTTGGAGAGCATCCTATTGATGGGGGGCAGCACCAGTTCATCGAGTCAGGTTTATTATCTTTAGTTGATTCCTTGTCACAACAACTAGGCTACCAAATATCAAATATCCGATGGTCTGTGCCCACAAGCCTTCATGCTGGTCCAAGAAACCATACCATATCATTTATCATTGCATTGTCTGTTCTCTTGTCTTTCAAGCGGGTTAGGAAACCGAATTTGTTTGGTCCTGGGTAGGGGGGGCAGGTCATCCAAAAATTCCTGGCCATAGTATGTGGTCTTCCATCTTTGTATGGTAAGTCTGTTTCATGATAGATTCATGATTCATCAGGTTTTGGACACATTGTCACATTCTTATTTACATTCAACATTTGTGGCTTTATGAATGGGATTTGATTCTGTTGTGATCATGAATTATTATGAGCCATGATGTTGATATGTTACATGACACGAAAAATGATCAATGGTTCTTTGATGGCAGATAAACAAATTTTGATATGATATGATATGTTATGTTTTATGGATTTATGGCTTATATAATGCATGTAAAGGGTACTTGGGCGATGTTTTTGAATACATGGCTGTGCCGATCTAATGAACAATGAACAGCTTCGTTTGCAAACATTCGATCATTGACTTGATTTCAGATCATATTCAGATGAATGATAACTATATTTTGTTTTTAGTGGTGCCGATACCATCTTCAACCACATGTTTAGGTTTGGCTTGTGTTGTTTCAACTATTTCACTTCCTTGTCTTGATTCCCAACCTTCAGCTCTCTCTCTCTCTCTCTCTCTTAGGTGGATTTGTCATCCTGGATTCAGCAGGTCGTACCCGCATCGACGTTGCGTTTCTCACAGCTGCGTCTTCCCAAGCTGGATACAACAAGCCAGACCAAGTCTTTGTTGGTTGCGACATTGTGGGGCGATTTAATGAACACAATTCACCGGACAATCCTTTCACAGGCATTCTTTTGGAGATGTCAACTGAGGGATTTGTTGAGCCTTCTTCAACCAGATATTTTCCACACGTGCGCTCACAATTTGGCCGACTTCGGATGTACTGCGCAGACGAGTTTGCTGTTCATTTGCTGGATTTGCCAGATTCTTTCGGTGACTGTGCTACAGCTGTCAGGGTAGGGATTCAACTTCTGACCTTTGAAGAGGATCATCTGCCAAAGCGTTTGCGAGTGACTGGGGTAGAGATATGGGATTCGGAAAAAGAAGAGGCGACAGGTATTGTCGAGGCAGACACACACACTGACAGGGTATTGGGAAATGCCGCCGATCAACCAGTTCATGGCAGGGCAGATTCTGTGGTCGGAGTGGGGGATTGTGAAGTTGACTTTTTGGATTTGCTGTCTTCAGACAATGGTCACAATGACAATGCCGTCAATGCCTGTGACAGCACTGGGAACGAGAATGAAACTGGTACTGCTAAGCGATCTTTTGGTCAGACCAGCCGCAAGAGCAAGAAACAGAGAACTCAGAGAACCATTGACTCAGGAGATGAAGGGGAAGATTTGGAACAATTTGATCAGGGTGTGAATCGAGATGATGTTGATCACTTGCTAGGGGATCCCGGGGTGTCTGCTTTTTTGGACGCAGAGGACGTCAGTGAGTTGAAAAACGTGGTCACACTTTGCCAGGAATCTTCCAAGTCTAGTGAGTTAGCGGCTTGGAGAAGAAGTGTGATAACAACGTGCTCAGACACTGAGTCAGATGCTGATGAGGTAGTTGATGATTCACTGTCACTTTTTCAAGATGGTGACCAGCCAGCTGCTCAACCATCTGCCAGTTCATCTTCTTTTCAGCGTGAGGTCCGGGCCTCAATGAAGTTCCAGGACTAGATATCTTAGATATCATCTGTCGGTCTGATTTGATATGATATGATTTGACAATGATATGCGTTGTACTGTATTAAATATTGTGTGTATGAATCATAGTATGAAAAACAACTTGATATGACCTACTTATTATATGTATCGATTATAAATATATTATTATGATATTATAATTTGATGATGACTACTCTATGACATCATTGTCATTGTGGTTGTAAAGAGGTTTGAATTAGGAAATTATGAGGCCGACTCCATGTGTATTAGGGTTCCAGGAAAAGTCGTGGCTCATAATTCATAATTCACAATGTCACTGTCACTGTTTCATTTGTATATCAAATATTCCATGATCGAATCATATATGATGTGATTTTTGATGAAAAATGTATTCATAATGTGAAGTCATATCATATTGTATCAATCAAACAGTTTCTGCACTGGTAGGGGTCAAAGTTTGATCTCCTTTTCATGACATACCATGCCAAGATAAGCCAACATCCATGTCCAAATCAAACTGCTACCATCTAATAACACCCCATCTCTACGCATCAAGACACTGACTTGATCATCGGATCATATCATACCAGAATCACATCATATCACATCAATCATTTCAATATCAAAACAAGATCATATCAAATCGCATTCATATCATTTCAGAATCACATCATATCATTTCAAGTCATTTCATTAAATTACACAGCATTTCTTATCATATCATTTCATATCAAGTCATTTCATGCCATATTCAGAATATTTCATATGAATTGATTTCATGTCACATCATCGAATCGTATCATTTCATTCCTTTCATGTCATTCCATTCTTTTCATATCATTTCATTTCATTTCATGACTCATGAAGTAGTAACATATTACTAGCAATCATTATTTTAAAATTATATCACATTCACATACCATATCATTTCATATCATCCAATTTCATTTCAGAATCACATCATATCAAACCATTTCAAATCATATCATTACATATCGCATCACATCATATCATTCTGCACTAAATCATACCATTACCATTTGTAAATTACAAGGCATTTCTTATCATGTCATTTCATACCATATCATTTCACAACATTTTATTTCATATATCATTTTACTTTCTATTTCATGTTCAATTCATGTCATTTCATTTCATTTCATATCATGTCATTCCATTTCATATAATTCAAATTATATTCATACCATGTCATTTCATACCATATCGTTCCATTTCAAAATGTCGTTTTAAATTGTAAATCATATCAAACCAAACCAAATCAAATCATATCATATCACTTCAACTCATATCATTTCACATTTCACCCTTTCCTCTGACGCGCTACCGCTTGCTGTCAGCCGGGGTTGGCGGATTTATAGTTGTTATATTCAAGTTATTATTTTATATTTTGTATTATTTGTTCACTATCTGATATTTCATTTCATATTACTGTTGCTGTTTAGTTTTGTGTGAACCGAATCGTTTGATATCTTGTCAGTTTCACATGCATGTATCATCATGAAATAATGAATCATGAATTAGCACAGAGTATGATCGGTATGATGAGGATATCGTGGTTTTATGGTGTGTGTTCATTGTTAACATTGATAATTCGGCAAAACTTGTTTTTCCAATTCATCAGCCCATGGCCTACAGCCACCTTTGCAGCCAAACCTGTAACTTATACTACTCCACTGACTGTTGTCAGGATGTGGCGACGCAACCTACGGCATCAACCGATCCGAATGGTGTGGGTGATGCGTTTCTACCAGAAAGTGCTTGCTCCAGTGCCTCTGCTTCGGCTACATCAGGTGGTTCTGATGGATGTGTGAGCTCACTTTTTGAAGTTCTTTCTGACGGGTCGCGTGTTGAAGTTAGGAAGAACCAACGTGGTAGTGTCGTTGCCCAAGTGGTTAAGATTGGTGTCTTCGGTACTGAAAAGATCTTGGGAGAAATCAAATCTCTCGTGGATGCCAGAACAGGAGCAGAAACTTTGCAGGGAAAGTGTAAATGTCATACCAGCAAGTGTCTTTGTTGGCTGAGCAGTGCCAACCATGTTGACTTGCTGATTGCTTGGATAGCTAAAGGCTCTCAATGTGATATGCAAAAGCATCTGGAACTTGCACGCGATTTAAAGATCGGCATCGGTATGCGAGTGCGGGGTTGAGCAAAAGTTTTGCCCAAATTCCTGCAGTTGGAGTTTGGATTCAAACTAGGAGATCTGAAAACCATTATCATCACAGATGCCTGATGACTTTATTATTTATCATAAGTCTTAGTTTATCGTTACAAGTTAAAATGATAAGTAGTAGTTACTATAACATGCTAAAACCTAGTTATTTGGGGTTTTCCCCATCGTCATCTACGACCTAAAGGTATAGGACAGAAACCCGGGGACCAAAACCATGGGCTTAAATGCAAGATTGAGACTTGAGAACAAATGAACATATCAACATAACATATCATATCAGTAACATATCAATGACAATAATATAAATAATAAAAATTAACTGGCGGTTATGTGCTGTAAAATCAGTTTTTGAATATAAGATCCATCTGTGGCAACAAAGTAAACTTGAGATGGACTGTGCCCTGTATAAACAAAATACTGTAAACCGTAAACCACATTACTGCAGTACTTATTTGATGGCCGAGATCACGACTGTTTGACTAAGGATTGGGAAATTAAAGGCTTCAAACCAAGAACGGAAACCAACTGTTCAACAAACACCAAAATTCATTGAGCAGCTTAAGTGTTGACCCAGACAATACAAAAGTTGGCGGCAATCAAAGACAATCAACCAAACAAAGTTTGAGAGTAAAGTGCCACGAGCCAAGATCACAAACTACCAAAAAAAGTAAAAATAGAAACCAGATTTTAAAAACAAAAACAAAACTGTTAGAATAGTTTCCCGAGCTTTTGAACAGAAAGAGAAAAGTACAACAATAAAATTACAACAAGTTTTCCATTGAATAACAAAAAGTTTTCCATTAAATAACAGAAAGTTTTCCATTGAATAACAAAAAGTTTTCCATTAAATAACAAAAAGTTTTCCATTAAATAACAAAAAATTCCATTAAATAACAAAAAGTTTTCCATTAAATAACAAAAAGTTTTCCATTAAATAACAAAAAGTTTTCCATTAAATAACAAAAAGTTTTCCATTAAATAGCAAAAAAATATCCATTAAATAACAAAAAAATATCCATTAAATAACAAAAAATATCCATTAAATAACAAAAAAATATCCATTAAATAACAAAAAAATATCCATTAAATAACAAAAAATATCCATTAAATAACAAAAAATATCCATTAAATAACAAAAAAATATCCATTAAATAACAAAAAATATCCATTAAATAACAAAAAATAGCAAAATCCAGAAAATTTCGATTAAATAACGTATTTTGCTTGTAAAACTCATTATTTAACTGTTATTTTCGCTAAGTGGCACACGAGAGAAAATAACAGTTAAATAACGAGTTTTACAAGCAAAATACGTTATTTAATCGAAATTTTCTGGATTTTGCTATTTTTTGTTATTTAATGGATATTTTTTGTTATTTAATGGATATTTTTTTGTTATTTAATGGATATTTTTTTGTTATTTAATGGATATTTTTTTGTTATTTAATGGATATTTTTTGTTATTTAATGGATATTTTTTTGTTATTTAATGGATATTTTTTGTTATTTAATGGATATTTTTTGTTATTTAATGGAAAACTTTTTGTTATTTAATGGATATTTTTTGTTATTTAATGGATATTTTTTGTTATTTAATGGAAAACTTTTTGTTATTTAATGGAAAACTTTTTGTTATTTAATGGAAAACTTTTTGTTATTTAATGGAAAACTTTTTGTTATTTAATGGAAAACTTTTTGTTATTTAATGGAAAACTTTTTGTTATTTAATGGATTTTTTTGTTATTTAATGGAAAACTTTTTGTTATTTAATGGAAAACTTTTTGTTATTCAATGGAAAACTTTCTGTTAGTTATTATCTGTGTCTGGATAATGTTTTTTTTGTGGGTAACTTTTTTGTTTGACTTTCTAATGTGTTATATGTTCATTGTTTCTTTTCTTAAAGTTTGTTAGTATATTTTGACAATTTCCTTACTGGATGTTTTTTGCTTCCGGTTTAGTCTTGACGTTCTGTGGTCCATCTTCAACTTCCATTAGCCCAATAGTCTAACTGTAACTGATACAGAGCTTAGTATGAGGTTTACTTAACGGTTTAACATTGTTGATTCGAGAGTACTAGTGCTAGCTAACTATTGACTGCTCTATTCACAGGATAAACATGTGACTATGCGACGTTCTGGCACTGGCTTGGGTTTTTAAATTTAAGTGAAGCAGCAAATTTAGACTATAGCCAGCCTATAGGCCATAGCCTATAGCCTATAGCCTATAGCTATAGCCTATAGTATAGATACTTGTACAGGGAAAGACTTGGATGTGGTTTTCAGATCTCCAGCAGCTTCACGAAGCGTTGTGCCGTGATGAATATGCCTTTTATTTGAGCAATATGTTTTCAGCTGACATCATGTCAGGCAGTGCCAGCTTGTTCATGAAAGCCGGCCACATCAGTTTTTTTTTCTGAGTTGACTCAAGACCATGGTCCATGGTCCATTTGGGTGTTATCATGTTGTTTTCAAAGAGTGGTCCGAAAGCATTTTGGGCTTGATCAAGGGTCTAGCTTTGCTCGGAGCTTTCGACTTGTGAGATACGTCATCCATGGCGCCCCACTCTCCCATGAAGGTTATGCAGCCTCGCTCTCCCATGAAGGTCATGAAGGTTCTTCCTTTTTCGGATGATGAAGAGACGTTGATTCTGGGTCAATCCCCTCGCCCAGTTTTGCGTCGTGGGAAAGCTCACAGCAACCTAGATGCTGTTGCTTGTTCTACTCCCCGTCGAAGCCCCAAATCTCCCAAAGGGAAGTTTGGTGTTGGCAGCCCCAGCAAGAGCCCCGGCAAGTTGGGGGTTCGCAGTCCCAGCAAGAGCCCCGGCAAGTTTGGAGTTGGCAGTCCGAGCAAGAGTTCTAGCCCCAGCAAGTCTGTCACAGCCAGTCCCAAATCGCAGAAGTCCAATGTCCGTGGAATGGCATCCCGCAAAGTCAAAAAGACTGTGATGAAAGTCCAGAGCAAGTTCAAGGGGTCTCTGGGTCGTTCCACAGTCCAGCGCGCATGTGGGATGCGCAAGCCAGCATCGTCCAGTTCATCGTCTAGCTCTCCGGCCAAGTTAGTCAAGCTTTCCCGCGCAGATCAGAAGGAAAAGGATTGGAATTTCATGATGGCTATGGGGGAGATCGGTTCAGAGACGACTTGAAGGGGTACAATGCCTCTTTCCGATGCCCTGCTCCGTGGACGTGGCGTGAGCTTCTCATCTTAATGGGTCGTGATGAGTAATGATGAGTCTTGAGAACCATGAAGCAAACAATCAATCACCAACACTGTGGAATTATGGTAGTCATAGTTGGATATTGACATTGATAATTGATAATTGGTAATCTGTGTTCAGTGTTCATGACTCATGACTCATGACTCATTGACGGTATGATTCTGTACTCATGATGATGATACTAATAGTAATAATTTGATAAATGACTATAACAGTTTTGTGATGGTGACTAATGAATCAATGGATCATTTGTGCTGTGTGACATGTGATGGTTTGAGTTCAAGTATTGGGTTACAACAATTTAGAAGCGACTTGTTACTCGTTTTTGGTTTTAATCCGAGTACGCTGATATTCTGAACAACAACCCTGTAACTTCAACTCACTTATGACGACTTATGACTCACAACTCGCAATGTGCAATTTTAACTTACACCAACTCACTCTCATATAACCCCATGCCGTGCCCATGCCGCATCTGTGACTCCTTTGGACTTATGACCCTATGACCCGACTATGACTATATGACTATGACTATGACTCTATGACTATGACTCTATGACTATGACTATGGACTATGGACTATGGACTATGGACCATTGACATAGGCTATGACTAAGACTAAGACTATTGAGTCTGACTAATTATGGTATAGACTAAGACTATGACTCACTCATGACAAATGAAAATGGGACAATGGACTTTGGATTAACGACTAAGACTATGCATGACTATGACTATGACTCGACTATGACTTCCAAATCAAGTCACAACAGTATTCATTACAATACCAACATCCCAAATACCAACCTTTGTATCGATCATATTTTCATAGAAGATTCTCAGACCAAACCTAGGTTTTGGCCTATGTGCCTCAAGCAGCAGGGTTGGACGCAGTGTGGACGTTTGCTTGCCCAGTCGAGGGGTTGGAACCAGCCCGAAGTGACAAGTGAAGACTGAAGGGATTAGGTAGGCAGTGTCTTGCCACTGAAGCTGTTGCACAGTAGATCGCTTTATAATTAAGTCGAATAGATCCGTATGCAACGCTTCAAACTTTGAATTTTCCTTTAGAAGCCACTTCATCTTGTGGCACCAACTTAGCCATAGGTAGTTTTCTGTCGTGTCCAAGGCTAGCACAAAGGCAAGCTTTGGCTGAGCTGGATTTGATTTACAGCAGCAGCCATGACAGGTAGCACAGAGAACACCTGTTATCCAGTTCGGCTCAATGAGTAGCCGGCACAATCTAGACTAGAATCGTGGAAAGTGGAAAGCAGAAACATTCAGCATCTTCGGGGTATGTTTGCGCCAAGGGGTTTGACATAAGAAACACTTGATTTGTTTGACTCTGAACTAGATGTGTGTCCCAGTTTCCATGGAGTTCTGTGTGAGCTCAATCAGATCGTGAGCTTTGCCGTTCCCAGCCGCATTTGGGAATCATGTCATGTTTTGATAATCAGATAATCTGTACATTTGCCAGCACCAATTTGGATAGCTAGCATTTGGTTGTATGATATTCTGATATTATATTCTTTTGACGCGTTGTCACATCTCAGCATTTTGCTCTTTTTCACGCCCTCGTGCTGCTGTCCGATCTTTAGATCCAGTTTCCTGTCTCCTAGATCCAATGGGGCCTAAGAGGGACGACAGCAATCAGTGCAAATGGTGTCGGAAAGGGTTTCACGACACTCCGAATCCCATGGTGCAGAACCCTGGTCCCAAAGATATGCTCAAGAGGAGAACCCCGTTGAGTAATGAGTGCAAGCCTTGCTTCAACTACCAAGGGGCATCCAGCTATGGCACTTTGACCAAGAGTGCGTTGACCGCGAAGCTTTCCACGGACGAAGGTTTCAATGAGTACATTGCGGGGTTGGATGAGTATGTTGAGTCCCGTCGAGCGGGGAAGCGTCCACGCGGCAAAGCTGAGAGCTCAGGACAGGATCAGCCGTGATGGGGCTCGACATGCCATGTTTGATATCAGATAATATTTGTCCATCGATATTTGAACTTGATATTTGAATTGATGTCTCAGTGCTGTGTTGACCATGGACAACCATTGCCCATTGCCAATGCCCATGGGACCTTTGCCCTAGGAGAACCTTTGGATGCTGCATATGCCGAAACTTCAAGCACATACAGCACGAAGCAAGTGGTTGGCTATTTCTGGACCCCGGACTTGTTGAAAAAACATGAGAAGCCAATGCCCAAGAAGCTCCAAGTCATATCACACCAGGGACAGAAGCTCAGGGGAATTACCCGTGATGACTTTGTTGTGGGTGCCTAGGCCAATTTCCAGCTTGATGTTTGTTGGGTAGTTATGATGATATGATAATATGATGATATGATATGATTCTATGATGATATGGTGCTATGATATGATATGATATGATTATGATATGGTATGATATGATATGATTCGATTGGTCCGATATTGTATCAAATCATATCACTCCCATATTCACCCCTTAGATAGTGATGACACAGTCAGGCCCCCACCCAGAAATATCGGCTAGAACAACTTGGCCAACCGATGATCACCCTGATATGATCACTGATATGTGTTTTTCATAGTAATATACGTAGTTATATAATATGTTTGTATGTGTTTTACTGGTTTTTAAGTTATAACTAACTTACAACCTAAATATTGTTTGCAACTGTAACTTTTTGAAGAACACCAATCTATGGATAAACTACTATCCTGACTTTAAATATTGTATTATTTAGTTTTATTTATTATTATTAGGTTCCCTCCACTTACTTTCGGTTCGTATGTATTTGTTTGTATTTTACGAAACACTTATGGTCCTGATGGTTTTATAGTCACAATCATAGTCATAGTCATACACATGATTTCCAGTGTGCAACGGTTTAAAGAACAATAGCAGTGTACTATGAGTCTCTTGTGACAATGACATGTGGTTATAGTTGGTACCGGGTCATTTGGTGGGATAATAATTCAATGATACAAGTACAAAAGCTACCTGTGGGTATTTTATTGTAATTATAAAATTAATAATATGTTTTCATCAAATCAGATCCTGATCTTTTATTGTGCATCAAGGGTCGTGAGTCATGAACCATCAATCATTAGAATCATTATCATAATTATCACTATCACTGATCACTGATCACTGATCACCATTGATCATCAGCACTGATCACTATCGTTGTCATCATATGACTCATCACAGCACGACTATACTGTATATACTGACTCCATTTCATCGTCCTGCAGTTTTTTGCCCAGGTGCCATCGAGATTGCAACAACGTGTGCCAGGGGAGCGAAGAGAATTGCTGAATTGGCACGTGATGATTCCGACAATGATGGAGAAGTCACTGCCAGTTCGGCATTTGCAGCAGCTCAGAAGAAAGTGCGGGTGACTGGAACTACGGCTGATGGAGACCCTTCAGAGATCAACCTCAAGATGCCTAGCAAGGCAAGCGGGCCAGATGACTCTGAGGAGTTGCATGCCATCTTGTTTGGCGGCGAGGCACGTGGTTCCAGAGACAAGGAGAAAGCATGCTCAGATGAAGAGCAGAAACAGGAGAAGAGGCGCAGGGTTCAGCAACGGAACATTAGCAAAGGCAAGCCTGCCGTTGCTGCTGGCAATGGTGCAGATGGTGATTCCCAATCGGCTGAGACAGCCTCATCATCTTGGGCAGCCATGTCTATGGGAACTTCCAAGAAGGCAGCCAGTGAGAGCAAAGAGTTGGACAAAGCTGAGTCACTCATTTTGACCGTGAGTCAGCTGAAAGGCCAGATTCAAGACGAGTCATCAGTGCTTCAGGTCTCTTTGAAAGCCGTTCGAAGCTTGGCAGAGAAGGTGTCCACTCGCCTGAGCCAAGAAGGAACCAATTTCTTCGTCGAGGCCGTCAGGCGATCCGGTTCCAATAGCAGAGCGGCTCAAGTCTGGCAAAACATGAAAGACTCGAAAGCTTGCTTGGAAACTTGCACATGTTGAGAACATACGTTGTGCACTGATGTTCAATCTTTTTTTACTTTACTTGACCTGATCGGATGGCCCGAGTTTTGATGTCACAAGTAGAAGTTTTGGAGAGTCACGAGTCGTTGTCCTGGTATATAGAAAAATATACTACATCATTATACAATAGTATACAACTATTTATTGAGTGATAGCACAATTTAAATTACAACAATAAATATACTTTAGACATAGACTAGAAATAAATGTGTAATATTATATATTATACATTATATAATATATAATTTAATATATATATAATATAATATATATATAATATATAATATTCATTCTTATATTATATGGATGTTTTGACCATTTGTTTGACTCCTTTCTACACATGTCCACTGCGAGGATGCTATGGAGGAGTTCGTTGAAGCCCTTCAAGACGCAGAAACTTCGCCATTGACTGTGAGATCTCGTGCTGCTGCCCTGAAGAACATTGGGGTTACCGTCCCTCGAAACGTCAGCATCATCATTTACAAGAAAATGGCGGAGGAATTGGTCCAGCAGGGAAAACTTGAGGATCTCATGAAGTTTCTGGACCCTGGACAAGTGTCAAGTTCCCAGGATGGTGATTCGTCGGACACCATTGCCAGCATTTTGCCGGATCAGGCTGATGAGCGCTTTGCAGAGCTTGCGCGTGAGTTCCAATTGGGGTGCTTGATCCATCTGATCAACAACCTCTTGTTGAAGGAGTACCAGGGCAACGCATCAGATTCAGAGCATCTTGACATTATTGACAGCACGTAGGGTTGATGGGTGACCAACAATCTCATAATATACAGCATACGGTACGTTTACATGCTGTAACTAAAAATAACAATAAATAAATAATAAAACTACAACGGTGATTCCAACCATCATATCTTGGGTGATGCGGGGTAAGTATCTACCAGTACCAATACCAGGAACATGTTATAGTTTTATAATTTATAAATGTTATTAGTCAATTTAAGTTTTTTAAGTTAGTCATTACTTACTAATATGATTTCATATTCTAAGACTAATATGTTTTTACTTATTTTACCCACTAAGACTTTGACTAGACTATGACTATGCCATTCTGTGACTATGGTTTGATGATGTCAACGATAAATGATAGATTCATGGCGCATGACATGGGGGCTATGACTCAAGACTCATCCGACTCATGACTATGACAATTGTGATAGACTATGACTAGACTATGACTCTATGACTTTGACCATGACGAATGTACGAATATGGTTTGATATGATTTGGTGGTGTGAGCAACGTAGACACCGGTGTCGCTGATACGTAGTGAAAACAAAGCACTTAGTTTCCTCACGTTTCCTGATTTTACGGGCTCATAGTTTCGTAGTTTTACAGGCTACTTCTTAGGGTCAAGAAATTGCGGTACATAACAATTAACACTTTTTGACTTAATTTATGATTTATGCAATAAAAATGTAGTATTATATTATATTTATATTTATATTTCTTATATTTTAAAATAAAATAACAATATGTTTTAGATAACTATGTTAAAATTATCTATATAATATTATATAATTATTTATATTATTATTATATATATATTATATATTGATATATATATATATGATTTATATAATAATATATATTGATATGATACAATTCAATATTGTATACAAATACATTATATTATAAAATTATATAGTTATATAAATATATATTATGTATAAATATGATAATATCTTACTTTAAATAAGAAAACAATGTTGTAACTTTACATGATACTACTTTTTTGTTACGGATTATCAAATTGTTTTCACAGTAATTTATGTGCAGAAGTATTATTTCTTTATTGGTCCCATATCATATGGTGTAATGTCCAAAGATGTTGGGAAATATTTTGAATTTTTATGTTTCTGGTTCACACCTGCAAGGTATGAGAAGGAGAAGAACAAGTTCATGATTGATGCTGCGCAGTCCGTGGTGGAGCTCCTTAGCTGTTTCCAGAAGTCTGCCATCTACAACACAGCAGCTCCTGAAAAGTCGTCTTCTCGGGATGATTTTGAGCGCATTGCATCACTGGTCGCGAGTGCAGTCTCCGGCAAGATTTTCCAGCCAGCTGAATGTGACACGCTGCAGTCCCAGAAAGCACTTGCTACAAAGAGGGGTACTACCTTCTACACGGGCCTTGTGACTTTTCCTGTCGGCTCATGGGTTCTGGACAAGATCAACGAGAAGATTACTCAGTGCAAGCAGGACCAGCTGCTGGGAAAGGAGTTTGAGAGCATCGTGGAGTTTGCAGATGGCTGCAAATCCTTCAAAGTTGACTCATTGACAAAAAAAGACAAAGATTCAGGCAACATCGACATCTACATTCCAAGCCAGAATAAGGTGATCGACATGGTCGCCAAATACTTCAGCTTCGTGGAATTGGCGTCAGACCACGCCAAAGGCTTGATGGAGACTCAGATGAAGAATGTGGCCTTTCGCATTGCGGAGCTGCAAGGCGGCTTGGTTGCAGCTGCAGCTTTGAAGCACGATGATTTTGCCGGAAATCTCTGCAAGCTCCTTTTGTCGTGCTGCGGAGGAAGCGGCACTGAGGAGTGGAATGATGAGAGATCTTCAGAGTGCTGTCAGGCTTTGTCTACCATGAAAAGCTTGGGATTCTGGGTGAAAATCCAACTGTCCAAACTGCTTGGCAAGCAGAATGCAGCCACCTTGGACAAGTGGGCCAATCAAATTGCTTCCTTGTCGGCCAGTTTGCAGGGCGCATTCCCAAAGCTCTGTGCTTTGAGGGATGCGCAGTCAACAGATACCATCATCATGTCAGCTGAGATCAAGGGCCTCTACACTTTTCTCCGGGACAAAGACATGAACACTGCAGTCCACAAGCTCATGCCAAAGATGGTCCCAGGTTTGTTGGCAGCATCCGCTCAGATTGACAAGGCAGTGGAGGATTGTCTTAGCAAACTTGGACTTACATTCAGCAAGTTCTTGCAAGGCATCTTGGCTACAGAGCCCCAGTTTGATTCCATCTTGCAATCAGACATTGTTGGGACCGTTGATGTTGACACCGACGGCAAGAACAAGGTTGACAACGATGCCGACTTTGGTGGCATCTACTTGGCATATGGGCAGTACCTGCCTCCCAACAAGAAGATCAAGGTGCGTTTCGAGAACGCATCCTCTGATGTGTCAGTGCATGCGTCTTTCATTTGCCTTGCAGGCGCTCTGCTTCAGATGTCCAAGTATGCCTTGATGATCATTGAGACTGTGGAGACAGCCAATGCGACCCCGGACATCAAGCAGGTGATCAACGAAATCATTACTTACATCGCCCAAAAGAAAGACCATTCTTCTTTGAGTTTCAAGTGCGGCATTCTCAAGCTTATGCTTGGCTTCTTCCCTGGCCTTTCGAGGGCCGGAACTGCCTTCACTGAAATCATCGGCAAGGTTGGGGAGGACATGGCCAACATTGACCAGATCAAGGATTACCACCGGACTCTTTTGAACAAGTTAGAGAGTGCGTTGGTTGCTTCGATGACTTCATGCTCATTGGAGATCGACGTCATGCAGAAGATGTTCAAGGATGCTTTCATCGAGATCAAAGCAGCGCATCCCCTCCCTGCACTGTTTCGAGCTTCTCCACTTGACAAAGATGCGATTTGCAAGCTGTGCCAAGATTCAAATGTGAAGATGGTGCTGTTTGCTGCTAGCAAGGTTTCCAGCCAGTGCGAGTTGATGATTGGCTTCTTGACGGGATTGAAGTCACTGACCATCTTGCAGCAGAAGACTGGAACTGGCGTTGCCGCCTTGCTCACCGATTTGAGATCTTTTTCCTCGACTTTGAATGCCAAGACCATGCCTGGTGATGACAACACCGTTGTCCTGGCCAATGTGACCTACTTTCAGGGAAGCGTGTCGTTGTCCCAGGCCATGGTACGAACTCTGGGTCCAGGCGAGACCCGCACAGGGCTGGTTAGCAAGTGCTTGGCATTGCTTGAGAAGAACCAGATGGCTGCCGATCCTATCTTGGCCAAGAGGGCCAAGCAAGTCCTTGATGGGAAGTGAGCAGTCATGAGACTGACGGGGCGTTTTTTTACCTTGTAGATTGTTTGATTTGCTTCCGTTTTTCTTTTTAGTTTTGGTTGTTTGACCTTATGTGACACTCAATGTGTCAAGAGCTGTAGCCGGCTGTAGCGGCATTGAATGGCCCCATGTTCCATTATGCACCGCGGACAGATTGGTGCAAAGCTGCGACGCAGTTACCGGGAAATCTGAGAGAGCGAGAAAAAATGAGATTGAGATGCTTGCACTGCAAAGCTGTTTGTGCAAGTGACCTTCCACATCACTTCACCACATCCCCACCACCCGCATTTCTGGGCGATTAAAGTCGTGATTTGATCAGGTTCGGTCGGCATGGTTTGATACTATGATGTTTTGATGTGATCTGATTTTATGATGATATGATATGATATGATTCGATATAATTTATATTGACTATTGACTAGTGACTATTGATATTGATATTTATTTCAATATATATGATGTGATTCGATTCGATGATATGATGATCAATGAGATTAATTATAATTATAATTATGATAAATTATGACTCATGACTATGAACTATGAATGATGATCTAATGATAATGATGATGATGATGTTGATGATGATGATGACAATGACATGGACTGGACCTAAACTATACTCAGACTTACGACTTATGACTCATGACTCATGATTTATGGCATCGAGTAATAATCAGAATGTGTGAGTAATAACTCGTGGCTCGTGAGTTATTCATAGCTACTCATCATAGCTCAATGCATTTTTCATTGTCATATATTAATACAGAATACATGTATCATATATCAGTTCGTACATATAATTAATTATAAATATGTATTATAATTATAATATTAAATGCTGTTAATTATGGCCATCAGGCTATCATATATCAATGTCAATTCAATATCATAACTCATAACAATAATAATTAATATCAATATGACAATATCAATATCAATGTCAATATTACTAATGAAATATAATATATATATATATATATAGTATAGTATTATAATTATTTTTCTCTGTCTACATATCGTCTACACCAAATAAAAATTAATTTAGAATTGAACATGTGGAACTTTCAAATGCACAAACAAACGCATAACATTAACATCAAACACACACCATAACATATATCACATATCATATTATAAATATAAGTTTACCTATAAATTCTGAAAAATGAAATATTACCAAAAGTCAATACTATAAATTGAAACTATAATCAGATCATATCATAAAATAAAAATAATAGAATTACAATTTACAATATAATAATAGATAATATATATAAATATCTTTCCCGCGGCCTGAAAACAAGTACCTATAGAACCAACAACAGTAACAACAACAACCGCATCCAAAACCACAACGAAAACGACAGCGATAACTACGACAAGAACAATGCCACTGCACAACCACAAACATTTTACATTCAAACCCCTCACAATCATCCAAAAAACACAGCGACAACAACTACCAATGGAAAGAACAGCAACAGCAGCAGCAACAACAACACCAAGAAACAACAACAACAACAACGACTATAACTATAACAACAACAAAATCACATCAACAACCAACAACCTACAACCAACAACCAACAACCAACAACCAACAACAAAAACACGAACAAGAACAAACACAGCCGCACATTTCAATATATTATTTAAATATTTATAATTTATAACATTCAAAACCACATGACAACGCAGTCAATAAACAAAAATAATTACCATAAAATAACAAAAAATAACAGTTAAATAACAAAAAACAAATTAAAGAACAAAAAAACAATTAAATAACAAAACAATAACAGTTAAATAACACAAAATATAACAGTTAAAACAACCAAAAAATAACAGTTAAATAACACAAAATATAACAGTTAAATAACAAAAAATAGCGATTAAATAACAAAAAATAACGATTAAATAACAAAAAAATAACAGTTAAATAACAAAAAATAACGATTAAATAACAAAAAATAACGATTAAATAACAAAAAAATAACAGTTAAATAACAAAAATATAACGATTAAATAACAAAAAATAACAGTTAAATAACAAAAAATAACGATTAAATAACAAAAAATATCCATTGAATAACAACAAAATATCCATTAAATAACAAAAAAATAACAGTTAAATAACAAAAAAATAACGATTAAATAACCAAAAAATATCCATTAAATAACAAAAAATATCCATTAAATAACAACAAATTTTAACCTAAAGAAAACGTGTTAGAGCAACATCCTAAAATATATATATATATACATATATATATATATTACAATATTACGATCTATGTTGGTGTTTTGCTGCTAAACTGTCCAGTGGCTAGGGAGCTCTTCGGAGCTCAAAAAAAGCGAGCCTGGAGCCTGTTCAATCAGCCGATATTTTAATGTGGCAAACCCAATGCCACAAAGCACAATCCCCGAAGCCATCAGCATTTTTATGGGCGTAGTTGTTTAAGCATCCCCGAAATTTGTAGTTGTTGATGATCATTTATGTATTAAATCCCCAAATGACAAGTAAAAAAAATAGGTTTCTTATCCCCAGGTTTCAATTCATCCCATCTACGGGATGATGAGTAAGAATGAGGATTAGATTAGTAACCATGAAAATACCCATGAAAATAACCATGAAATGAAGCCATCACATGCCATGGCTTTAAGCCATATTCATCACCATCCATCCGTTGGATTTCCCGTGTCTTTTCACCCGTTTATTTCATCATGAAAAACCCTTGATGACCATTATCAAGTCATGAAACGCCATTATCCTCATATCCCATAAGATCCATGTATGGTATATATGCTAACATTTGGGGTATATTGATGGTAAATGTTACCATATATACTGTACCATACATGGATCCTATGGGTATTGCTAACCATATAATTCATAATAGTCATGACCCTCTGGTAAACTAACATAACGAACTGGAACATCACCATCATTTGCAATGGGTAAATCAACACACTTTAGTTGGCCATGTTCTATGTCGCAAACTGTTAGTTTACCAGAGGGTGTATCCCATTCATATCCCATTGAACCACTATAAATCTCATTAAATCACTATAAATCACTATCACTTTCCATAAATAAAGTTATTTATAGTGATTCAATGAGATTTATAGTGATTGATCCCATGATTTACCAGAGGGTATATCCCAGTAAATCACTATAAATCACTATCAATTTCCATTAAATCACTCTAAATCATTCTGAATCACTATTAATATCCCATTAAACTAACATCAATCCTAGAGGCTAATCATGTTTCGTTTCCCACACGAAAACCTGACGACCGTCCAGGTCTTCCACCGGAGCTGCATCGAGACGGCTTTGCGTCAGCTGGGCCGTGCGGGGCAAGGACAGTGCCCGCTCTGCCGGAATGTGACCCAGGGCGTCGTTGTGGGGTTGGTGGGCGGGGGGTAAAAAGCCATGTTGAACCACAGATAACCACAGAGTTATGTAAGTTATGGCCCTTAACAGGCGGGTACAATTAAGCAACTCCTTCAACTTAGAATAACTTAGGTTATATAAGTTATATATCCCTTAAATGGGATTAGAAGTGGATGAATTAGCTGTTATATAAATGGGATTAGAAGTGGGGTTATGCTTAAAGCCATAGCCCTCAACAGTTCTGGCCGTGGGATGAAATACTGCAACTCCTTCAACTAGTTGGTAAAAATCACTTCAATGGGGTTTTCTTAGCCAGTTATACCTGGCTTCCGGGCTATAGTTGTATAAAGGGTTGGTAAATATCATGTTTTGGGGATTTGGAACATCACTTTCAGAAGTTTTTGTTGGAAACTATCTTCCCTCTAGTTGGGTCATGCACAATTAGGACATTTACCAGCCCCTGTTTAGCCATCAGACATGGTGAACCGTTGGAGTTTCACCAGTTTCAAGTTGGTGCATCATGTCATACTATCATGCTGGACGATTGGCATCAACAAGTGTGAGCAATTTGTATTAAACTTGCAAATATGGGGATGATGAAATCTTGGTGATTAAATCATGGGTATTAACTGGCCTATTTTATAAATCATCAAATATGGGGTTTTGATGAATCACGCTTATAGACTTGTCCAGGCATGGATAAAACTTGATAAAACCCCCGAATTGCAACGTTCATCAGGAAAGAGAAGTTCTGCCTCACCTTGGTGTAACCAATTACCTTTTTGGCTGAATGCACAGTTTATAAGCCAAAAGAAGACTGAACCACAATGAAGCTCGGTTCATGGTGGGTGAATGGTCCAATTGCTTTCTTTCACTGAAACATCTGTCACATTATGTTACCTGAGTTTATGGAGGATGATATGTCACACGTTTCTGCCATTTTCATGTGGAATGAAGCCCGCTCTCTTTAGGTGTTGGTATCGTCATGTCGGGGTGACGAACCCTTAAATGTCCTTTTTTTCTCCACCTGAGAGGGTGACCTCAGCAACTCCAACCTTTGTACATCAGCTGTACCCAATGACATCCAATGACTTCCAGAAATACAGTAGATAGAAAACTAACATCCAACCAAGAAACATCAACAACCATGGCAACAAAAACAAAACACTGTACTAGATTTTCTGGGGCTGGTCCTATATCTGGGTGGCATTCATGGCAGGTGATCAAGAAGTCGGAACTCTTAGAAAAACCTGCAGCAACTTGGTGGTGTTGGGATGGGCATTGGGGCGGGAAGTGGGAACATCAGCCATTTGAGGGAATCGATCGGGATTATGTTGTTCTTACGGAGTCGGAGACCCTTAAGCAAATCCAAGTTAATCTGGCAAACCATGGATGTAAGAACCATCCCCAAATGCCTGGGATGTTTTTTTTGTACTATTTATAATTGTTGTTTTACTATCAAACAAGGATGTATTTTTTGCTACCACACTTCAAAGTAAAGCCTAGATTGAAATGTTTGAGCTTGTTGATGCTGGGGGAGTTGCGTGGCCCCAGGGTTTCCGAAAAAGAGTGTCACGTCACATGGTCTAAATTGGTCGAATGCTGCAAGTGTTCAGCACATATAGATATATAAATTACATTTAATTACACGGATTTAATGTAATATAATATATTATGTCTTATAGTATGTACATTTTTTGTTTCAGATCTATGAGGCACAACTGTGTGTCGCATACGCGCGATATGACATGGGCAGCCCATGGCCAATGCCACGGGTATTATTCTACATGTGAAGCTTGATCCTAGTAGACTCTCAATTTACAAATCACAAGTTGATACAAATTGTATTGAGCCTATACATTCGTGTGTGCGTGTGTAACATCTTTTCACACACACATGTATATATATATATATATATGTGTGTGTGTGTGTTTATTTATTTACACATGCCTCTTGGTAGTCAAACAATGGCAATGGACAACACCCATTCAGTTCCATGATTTTCCAATAGCAAAATGCCAATAGTTTTGGACATTCCTGTATACATAGATGTCGGTATATTGTTCAATGGATTGGTTGAAGGACATCTTTGCAGGACACATCCATATTTCATGGGAAAATCCATGGAGTTCTGCAGATTTTCCATGATTTTCCCTTAAACCAATCCATTAAAGTGTGATACTTGGTGGCTCATCCCACTTAGTAAGTGGGTTATAACCCACTCATAACCCACTTTTGCTGGCATGCCCCGACTGCTGGGTCGGCCCAAGGAGCTGGAACTCGTGGAGGGTGACGAAACCTCTGCGACCGGCGCGGCCGGTGGGTCCAAAATTCGCGCCTTGGCGGTGGTCGCCACCAGTGACAGAACAAATTTGCCATGGGAAACCAGCAATATCCAGCAATCATAGGAGATCTGTGTTGATTTAAGATATTGTTCGTATCTATGATTCTATGATGCATTTGGAATATGTTGAAATATCAAAGGTGATGCCCCTAAACGTAGTTTTTATGTTTTTGTATACTCTTGTTGATTTCAAAACTCATATCACTAGAATTGATCCCGAGTTACCCTAGTGAATTGTTTGCCAAGTTAGGTACAGTAACTATATATAGCATCACTTTGCAGGGGATCTATGTGGATTAATAGGATTGTTCTTGGTGATTTTGGCCTAGTTTTGGTTGAAGTTGTTATATGATGGTTGGTAATAGCCAACAACTTGCTGACTGTATGATTTTGGTGGATATTGTCCCAAGAATCATGATGATAATTTGGTTTTCTATGTTTGAAAATGCCACCAATATTGAAAATAATCAGAACTTCACAATATTACCGTTTGATAATCAAACATGTCAATTAAACATCAAGCATTTCTAGTTGTGCTTTCCCATTAAAACCTCCATTTATAGGCACCAATAGGCTATGTTCAGTGGCCATGGTTGATTTCCGGAGGGTATTTCATATAGCCATGGCTAATTGTCGATCTTTGTGTCGCACCCCAGGTGCTGTGATCGCTTTCCTGCAGGAGAACATCATTCAGCAGCCTGGCCCTGGGAAATCCAAAATGGCGCACAGCTCAATGGATCTCAAGTAAAGTCCCTGTTTGTGAAGGGATGCAGGTTAAACTGCTACTGTCCTGGCAGTTTATCTCGAATTTCCAGCCTCCAACTGATGGTATGTTTATTAAGGCTCTCTGGCAGTTTTCTGACATTTTCAGCCTAGAATCGGTGATGTTTTTTGAAGCTGAAATTTTACCCCAGCAGAATTGGATTCCCCCAAAGGTTCCAGCTATATCAACTATCATCCAGCTGTATTTTGCAGCCATTTGGAGGTTTCCTAAAATGGGGGTACCCCAAAAACCGTAGGTTTGAATCCTAAAATGGTCTAATGACTTGGATGATTTGGCGGTATTCCCATGACTTTGGAAACCCCCATGTCCAGCTCAGGAAAAAGGATCCACAAGGAAAAAATCACAAGGCGGTGATCTTCTCTCAGTTCACCGCCGTTTTGGATCTGATTCAGTCTGTGTCTTGGCTGACGAGCTTTGGAGACCGAGTTTGTGGCTGTGAAGAGTCTGTGATCGAAACTGTCATTGGTTCGGTTCTCCCTTGTTACCCTCTGGTAAACTTTCACATAGCTATGGAAAATAACATTTTTTTAGTGGGTAAATCAACTATAAATGGCAATGTTCAATAGCTATGTTAAATTACCAGAGGGCACCTTGTTGGTTCAAACATGTTAAAGCCATTCTTCGGTGCATCCGAAAGGAGCTCAAGTCACAACAGTGGCCCTTCGTGCGTTTGGACGGACAGATGAAGCACGATGCGCGGGTGCATGCGCAGCAGAGCTTTGCAGGGCATCCGCATATCCAGGTGCGGCAGCATTGATTTAACATATGGGATCTGGGTAAATTATAATGACCTCACTGCGACCTCACTGGAATCATAGTTAATAAGGGAAATCATCCCCAAATGGCCTTAATTCAGGTTAGTGGAAATATTATAATTTACCCAGATGGGATGTAATGTGGTTTAAACATGTTAAAACAATGCCAAAAACCATCCCCCAAATCACCCAAAAATGGGGTGGTGTATGATTGTTTTATCCATATTAGTGATATGATGGGATCTAATAAAACGGAGTGGGAGATAGTGGGAGATAGTGGGAGATAGTGGGATATGTAGGAGCATGTAGGAACCATGATATAGAGGGACATATTTGGAGCTGGTAATAATATAACGGGGATTTTTCCGTGTTAGTCAGTGGGGTATATGAACTACATCCAATTTTGGGGTGCAGAACTTGGGTTATCAATCCCATCTCCCAAATATCCCCGGTAAGGCCCGGCAGGTGAACACATTTCATACTAAACCAGGGTTAGGGGCAAGGGATTAACCATCTTTTACTAAAATTTTATGTCTTCTCGAGTCTTTTCATGTCTTTTCCAACTTCTTCGCAGGGCTTGCAGCTCTATCAAAAAAAAGCAAACTCTTCACCAAAAAAGTTATATGCATAGTCATATGCCTATGTACATTTTACGTGCATATATATATATATATACATATGTAACTAGATAGATATATATATATATACACATGCACATGTATATTGTATACGTATACATGTGTCCATGTGCAGACGGTGGACATATAGGTTGTACGTTAGATCTCCCGGCTTTACCGCAAAAATCTTGAGCCCTTCCAGCAGGTCATGCTGTGCAGCTTGAAAGCAGCAGGTACAGGCTGGGTCATGTCAGGTGTCAACGGTGACGCAGCAGGAGCCTGAGGCCAGACGATCTACAAATAGGATTATGGGATTATTTGGTTGGTGGTTTCAAACATTTTTTGTTTTCCATATTTTTCCACAATATATGGGATACTCCTTCCCATTGACTTTCATGTTTTTCAAGATCGTTGAAACTACCAACCAGTTATGTTTCCAATGTTCAACCCAAACTTGTTTGGACTTGGTTGGTTAGTGACCTCCATTTCATCCTTGGAAAATTCTGTGACCAAATTCATGTGTGATAAATGAAAATGTGCCCGTCTGAAAATGGGGCCCGCCAAAATCGATCAAACATTAGTTAGTTTAATAATTATGGATCATGGTGAATCATGGTGAATCAACAATGGATTTTAGACTGGATACCTGATGTTCCCGCAATACAATGGTGGCATCCGACTTGCCGGGTAGCAGGTATACCATGCTATACCGGTATATCAACGTTTTGGACAGAAACCATATATATATATATAGATATATGTCGTATATAAGTATGCGCAAAATTTGGTGAACAAAATTTGGTGAACAAAATATGTGCTAAAAAGTATGCGAAATATTCATATTTTAGCAGCTTAGCATCTCGGAGAGTGAATTTCGTGTTTTACTTGTCCAGGTGAGTCCAGCGCCGATCAAAGCGGCTAGCTTCGTTTACCGGCTACATAGCATGCCATTCACATGCCATTCACATCCCATTCGTATTTATAGATGGATGATATACGTATATGATATATATATATATATGTGTGTGTGATGGCTTATCATATACTGTATGTATTCTCTATCAAGCATGTATCTATAGATATGTCGTTTTCAGTTGTGCACATATGCCCACATCATCTACTGGCATCCTAGTTGCTTCAAGTGACTTGGGAAATCCCAAAACCAATGCTTTTTTGTTCTACTAGAAACCACCAACTTGGTCACTTGTATGAGACTTGTACGTGTCCCCCCACTTCAAGAAGCACCCATGCTGTCCCCCCATCTTGTTTATCCCATCCACCCCATCCACAAGATTCATCCAAATTCAGTTTCATGATGTGGCTAAAGCTTCAGGGCTTTTCATCCACAAGTGGAACTGTCATGTGTTCTATTTGTTCATCAATAACTCTCCAGCTCATGTTTTTTCCAGTCTCATTGACGCGATGTTTTCCCATGGGCCAGGCTTGAACTTGACAGCTGCTGACCACGTTCTATTGATTGATCCGCTCGGGAACCCGTGGCAGTTGACTAGTTGATACCTGTCGAGTAGTGAAAAAGTAGGGGGTTACGCGACCTGGTTTATGGGGAATCGCCATTATGGTAATTCCCCTGCTCTGATAATGTATCATCAATCCCTGATATAAAATCACACAGGGAAGAAAATGCACTACCTGGATGATAATATTATTTGATATTATTTGTATTTATGATCATTTGCAATGGGCATCCCCAGGAGAAGCAAAAGAGAAGCAAAAGAGTATAACTAGTGGAATCTACAGCAGGATAGTATCCATGCATCCAATAATCCTGGCTGGTGATGTCAAGTAATTTCGATATACCCTCTGGTAAACTTTCACATAACTATGGAAAATCACCATTTTTCATGGGAAAATCAACTATAAAACTATAAATGGCCATGTTCAATAGCTATGTAACATTTGTTACCGGAGGGCATTTCCATCTGTATATCTTTGTATTCAGTTGACCTTTAATTTGAAGAGGTGATCCGGTGGACCGGCACGAAGCCATCAGTTCCATGGGAGTTTCTAACCGAACCGGGAAGCCCGAGTAGTGAGTTTACAATATAAAGATTCTCACCAAAAATGACCATTGTATTATCAAGTAATCCCACCCACCAAATTATATCAAATTATTAGACATCATCTGGAAAGAATTTTGTTGAGTACGGGAGATTTACATATGTTTGGAACCATGCTTTGTATTAGCGGGATAGGATTAACAGCCTATACCCTCTGGTAATATAGCAGTTTGCAATTAAACATGACCATAGAATACCATAGACATAGTTGATGTACCGAACTTCAAAATAGCGATGTTCCACTTTGCAAACATGTCGAGTTCCCAGTGTTCGACTTCCGAGGTGGTGGAACCCAGCAGTTGAGGAGCCGCTTTCAGTGGCGACATAGTACCCGTACCGGCAATTTATAACAGGAATTGAAGCCATCGAATACCAACTTTGACATACTGGATTTACACTAAATTTATATTTCTTTTGATGTTCCCGTTAGATCATCAAACATAACTCAAAATCCATATGACATCCCCATTTCATAATGAAACTCCTACAGATTATCGCCATTTAAAATCCATGCCCATCATCCCCAACCTTGGATACGTAGTTTCATCCTTGGTTTTTTTTTTCAAAAAAAACAAACATCACCAAAACAACCAGCAAAAGATGACCATTTTTTTCCGTTTGTTTTTTTCGGGTTGGACTGCCAAAAAGATTGACCATGCCGTGTCAAATCCACAAAATCCACGAAGTCCCACGAGTTTCCCCATGGAAATCCCCCTGTTTCTCCAAGAGGACCAGGCCATAGATCGTCTGCACCGCTTGGGGCAGCGCCGCCCCGTGCGGGCGCTACGCTTCGTGGCCGAGCGCACGGTGGAGGACAATTTTCCATGGGAACTCTGTGGGATTTCATGGGTTTTGAGGAAATCATGGCGAAATCATGGGAAATCTGACATTTGAAAGTGGGGATATGGGAATATAGTTGGATTTCCCCATGGAATATAGTTGGAAATAAATTCCCCACATAGATATTTCAGCAAATCTTTGGACTTTAATGGGAATATAGTTGGAAAGTGGGGATTTCATGGAGTTTGAACAGATATGAATAGAATGGGCATACAATGGACAAATTATCAAAAGTAAATCTTGCGTTTCATGGAGTTCAATTATTTTGTTGCTGATTAATCATTTGGTATTCAAAGATGGCCTGGAGATCCCCGGACTCAATGGAGTAGAACGGAGCTTTGAATGGAAACATAATTAACCTATGATATTCGATAATTCATGTTTGTACTTGAAAAACCAAACATTGCTACCCCGGATTTTTGGATATTTTTGGTGTGGTAAAACCGCATGAGATCGTCGGATTTTCACCAGTTGGATAGCCATCAAATCATCAAAATAGCCATTCAAACCACGGGAAAGAAATGGGATTTAAACCACCACGGAATAGCCCCATGTTTCAGACAAAACATGACAAAACCAGTTTTGAAGGTAACCCGAAGAACATGGGGAGAGCAAGGAAACTGCTGGTTTTTACCGGAGAAATGCAGGATTTCACCAGCACTGGGCGTGACCTAAATTCCCAGGGCGCATATGAACATGTCAATGGATTCAATGGCGGAATGATGCGGAAAAATCATGAAAATTCAACCAAAATCCTGACAGCCAAAATCAGCAAATTTGCCGCGAGCTGCGGTCATTTTGGATCACACTCCTGCGCTAGGAGCGGATTTTGGAGGTTCAGAAACAGCTGCACGGCTTGCAACAGCTTGGGCAGCTGGGTTCACTTCAGGAATCTACCTGGTAAGGACGTCACTAGGACGTCACTTGACATGATGGTCAATTTATATTTAATTAGTTTGGGATAGTTTGGGTACCTATCCATACCTATCCCAAAATGTTGGTATTTCAACCAGATAGATGTACATCCAGTTCTTTTGCTGCTGGATATACACATGATATACTGATATACATAGTAATACACACACAGTGATCACGTGCATAAGTACGACAGCGAACCCGGCAATCAAGGTTTGGATGCTTTCCAACGTGCTAAAGCATCAAACAGCTAGCTGTCGAATCCAGCTTGGACCTGACTTAGATCCGCAATGGATTCTTCTCCAATAAGATGCTGTTCCTCATGACTAAAGTGTTCCAACTCTGAGCATCTCATCCCATCAGCTTCAGATTCCCAGCTGAGGAAGAGAGCCATTGTCGATGGGGCACTGTCGAAGAAATCCCGTCCCTCGGCAGATGCCTCCGTCCGTGTCTTCGTACATCCATGTCGGACATGAAACAGACAAACGGACATGGAATCCCAAAAGTTTGCATAAAAATTGGCGATGTCCTATATATATATATGTGTGTGTTTTTAAATTTCACTGATGGTGATAGCAAAGAGCAGGGAGTCGTTTTGTGCTCCCCTGGTGCTAGGGGACGAACTGCAGAAAATTCGCCTGGAGATCCTTGGCGATTTTGAGCTGTGATGCTTTAGAGCAGTTTATTACTGGTGATAGTCATAGTATATATTTGCATATTCAGTTCAAACTTTTGGTTGTCTCTGGCAAGTTCTGTTCTGTGTTGTTTGTAGGAATCCAGCTACAAACTCACCAGCGTAATATTTTCAGGATCACCCAAGAACTGGTGGTTGGTTTGAACATCCAGTGCATCGGCTTTCTCCATTCTTTGTCATCAATAACACCATCATCAATAACACCATCATCATCATCATCATCAACAACATCATCAACATCAACATCAAGATCCACACAACACCATTGTCAGAATTCCTGGGAAAATACAATGCGGTTTCGACCTTATTCTGGCTAACTCATATGCCAATACCCCTTGCCCAGGATGATTTCGTCGATATTTGACCCCCTGTGATGCGCAGAATGTACAGCCGAAGTGGGGCGGATGCATCAAGGGTTGGGCCAAGGCAACTGTGAATTTACGGTAACATAAGTGAAGTTGATTGTCAACGACTCTTGTTTTGCGATGTTGATCATGTCGCAGGGCATGATTGAAGAAACACGATACTTGAGTGGTGAAGGATTAAAGGCAGGGTAGCTTGGGTATCCTACATGCTGTGGTGATAGAATTTAATTTCAATGCTGTTTCGAGATGTCGCAAGCAATGGTCCAACCCACACAACATCAAAGGGGACTTGACGTGCAGATGCAAAACTGCACAACAGCTTCTCTACACTGAGGGCTACCTCAGTGTGAGGCTATACACATGCATACGTACGTACGTACGTACGTACGTACGTACGTACGTACGTACGTACGTAGATTCATACATTCATACATTCATACATTCATTCATACATACAATGCCACCAGATATCTTACGTTTCAAAGTACTTCTCTATAGACCATGGCCTGCGCAGACCAACAATTTTCAGTTTAGATTCCCCTTTCACCCCAGCGGAGGCAAAGATATTATATATATATATACACAACTATATATATATATATATCTATACATTGTTTTCCATGTTTTGAAGTTTGATGAAGACTGTATAAACGAGTATTTTCTGGTGCCCTTTGCCCGTGCAACAATATATCATTTGGATTCATTTGGGATCTCCTTGGGCTAGGCTCCAACTGATAGGCCCACTTAGATCCACTTGTTTTCCTTCGTGGATTGCTATGGGGCCTTGGGTAAAAATACCGTGACAGTCATAGAACTGTATCCAGAGAGTGGAGCAGGACCTGCTCAATAGAGAAGGCGAATTGCTGTCATTTCAATAAGTTGTTGCTGTCTATAGTGGCATGTTGTATTGCTTAAGTAGCCACCCCGTGTAGCCTTTTTGTTCTAGATGTCTTTGCTGAAATCCACATGTGTATCCCTGTAATCTGGTTTGCTTAAAGCAGAATCAAGCTGGCCAAAAAGCTAAGAAGCATGGCTGCCGCTAGGGTACCATCCCATTTTTTGGGGGGCAAAATATCCCATGGATCCCATGGCTTTCCTTCCCAAAATCTTGAGGTTGAACCACCAGAAGTGGGTGACGGCCTGCGCAAGTGGCGCCAGTTGGATGGAGACCTGACCGCAACTGACCTGGGCCCCCAGTGTTCGCTGGTTGAAAGTCTTGGGATGCACCGGATGAATGATTTTCTCTGGATGAATGATATACGTGTATATATATATATATACATAATTTGTTCAAAATAAGTTCAACTTCATGGTTTTGAATATATAACGTGGAGTAACGTGGTTCTTTCTGTTTCCCCATGATGAATTCCCAAAGCTGTTCACCGAATTGGATTTCCCCGGCAATGATGGACTCTACCAGACTGACAGGTATTTGGATAACAGGACATGTTCAGCATCAGTGGGCGGGCCTTTTCTGTCCTCAAGCCTGGGGATGGGGCTATGACATGATACAGCAACAACGGCTGTGCAAATAGTGAGGATGACAGCAGACATGTTGGGATATGTGATATATATATATATATACAATTATAAGTGATTATACACGTGTATGATGATCTGATGTATATATATTATCTATCTATCTATCTATCTATCTATCTATCTATCTATCTATCTACCTGCCTATCTGTGTATATATATATATATACATACATGTGTGTGAGATATGTGATACATGACATATGCCATTGTGCTAGATGCTATATGTTACATGCATGCATGCATGCATGCAGACAGACATGGGTTTAATATTCGAGATTGAGTGATTCCCATGGTCACTAGGTGTCATTAGCGTTGCTGGCATTGTTGCCATGATTGTGATAGTGACAGTAGCCGCCAACTTACATCTCATTCCTAAGCCCAAGTGATCATGTTCCTTTGTCATCAAACACCAACGAGAATGGCCAAATCTGATAGGAGATGACAAGTGAGTGCATTTGCCTTGGCGGTTCTAGATCAAAGTCAGTCAGAGGAGTGACAACCACAAGAGGTATCAAAACATATTAAAACATAATTTTGCAATGTGCAATGATCCAGCCATGAGACATCGTTTTCCGCATTCCTAGTTGCATAAGTCCAGCCATGAGAGACCCAGCCAAGACTCCTAAAGGCTGGACAGCATCCCAGATCAACAAGACCTGACATCAACTCGAGTCATCTGACATTAAGCCGTGTTTGGGCCGAACATAAAAGCAACATGTGCATATACATATACACATTATTTCCATATCTATATATAATATATATATATACATACTATATACTCTACACATATTTATAGCACACTTGTGCATGCATTGATTTGTTGTGCCTTTGCTTCTCCCAAACGACAAGTTTTAACGCACCATTCGAAAAGGTCTCGTCTGTCTCGGGGCCGCACCTAGGTGAGGGTACCAGTTTGTGGTGGCAGAGCCTGCAGCCAAGAATGGTGACAGCTTGTTTTTTTTGGTTTACCGCATGAATCTGATGTGATCGGGGTATCCAAACATCATATCACTTATAAACCGTGAATATCATGGAAACAACAAGGTGAGATATGGGTTTGATTGAAATTTGGGGTGGTACCACAAACTGGCAATTTCAATTAGCCAATTTTTTGACCATGATGTTTGACCAGTTGATTTGTACCTTATTTACAGACAAGCACATGCTTGGGTCGAGACAGGCCAAATTTGTGGCTGAAACCATACTTTGCGATATGGGCATGGATCAAAGCCTATTGTTCCATATTTCCCGGGGTGAACATACATATATATATATATCCAATTTATTTTGCAGTGAACTACAGGGTGAGCTGACCCATACCTATTGGCAGGGCGATCCTTTCATCATTTTGCACTTGACATCGTGTGAGCGGATAGGGATAAGGATACGCTGCAAGATTTGAAAAGCTGAAAAGTGCTTGGAGGAACAACAAGCGATGAGAGGAAACATGCCACATGTAGCACTACTAGCATTATTATTACTATAATATTATTACCCTCTGGTAAACTAACATAACTATGGAAAATCACCATTTTTCATGGGAAAATCCACTATAAATGGCCATGTTCAATAGTTATGTTAAATTACCAGAGGGTATTCGAATGATTCGCCTTCAAAATCAGCAAATTTTGGCCAAACTTCAACTTTGCCAATCGGAGTCATCAGGCCTTCAGTCCCATCGTAGAGCAACCATGAACCATGGCCTAATTTTTCGCAACCGTTATGGGTTCTACAAAGCATCAACATATGGGTGGTTTCTCTACCGACATTACTTTGTTATTTTTATGTGGGAAAAGATAGTTCAAAACCAATTGGTGTCTTGCGGCATTCCAGTCGACAAGATGTGTCTTAGGGCTGTGGTTAGATGCTGAACTGCTTGATATATAAGATGAAGGCACTGTGCCACAGAATGCCATACTTTAGGGGTACATGTGTGAGGCGCTTTTAATTTAATTGAGATACCTTTTTCAAATTGTTTCTCCAACTGAAAGGGTTCCCAGAAAGTACAACACAGGATCCCCACAATGGTGATCTACTTGTCTTTTTGGATCTTTTTGGTGGCTTCACAATGTAGAGAAGCTCGTCATGAATGGTTTTCATCTCCCTGGCCTTCCAGGCATTGGTAGCTATGGAAAATCACGCCTTTAAATAGGTATAAATGGGCGATTTTCCGTAGCAATGTTACTGGAGGGTATGTGGCTGGTCAACTGATTCTTTGTGCCCAATTGCTCGATATTTCCATGAAAGAATCAGAGGTTGATGATCATGTGCCCTTTTGAAATTGGGTGTATACACCCAATATATCCCATAGGCTATCCCACGTATACCCAGGCCTCATCAGAGCTGTCGTTCTGAGGCATTGCCCGGAACAAACGCAGCCTGGCACTGGACCTTCGGCAACCGGAGGGGCGACAGCTGCTGAGACAACTTGCAGGCGCTAAGCATCAACCCTAGGGATTTAATAGGATGTCATGGGGATAGATGGGATATCTAGCCAGATGATTTTTGGGGGGTTCAAAATGTGAGGGATTTGACAGATCCATTGGCCACCATTTATAGATAGTGTTGTTGTTGTGTTTTGTTTGGTAATCAAACGGATGAAATGTGTGGGCCAGACATGGGAGTTGCCAAGTCTGCGGACAAGACACTATATAAGACATGTTCGAAGCAGCAAACTTGGGCTCACAAGCTGCGGAAATGATCATAAAATCAAAAGTAGCTAGAAAATCCGTGCAGATACATTTTGGTCAACCAAGCTGTGAGCACTTAAAGAAGGAAGTCAAGTCTCTTTGAACAATTCCCTGATGTGAGATGAAGTTGCACTTTACTCTTTACTGATCAAACCTAGGCTGGACAGATTAATGGGTTACATTTTGCTACAGAAGAATATGTCCCGACTGTCCCGACTTTCAGAAAATCCCATTGCAGGATATCTAAACTTGGCCAGTCTACTAATTCATAGATCCATTGCACATATTTTTCTTCTAAAGCATCCCCAGAAGAGTCTCATTTGTGCCAGGTCATGCAGTCCCTCAGCTGAAGCTGCACTGGTGGGAAGTTGATGCTGAAAAGATTCATCGGTGAGAACCTGGAAATTGCCGGTTTTTGGGCTCTACACATTCACCGTCGGAGTGTATCTCCGCAAATCGGGATAGGCCTGCATCTTTTGGGGCCAGAAGCAATAGCTTGATTAGCATATGGTTTCGAAATTGTTTTATCCTTATCTTCCGGGGAAGACCAACCAAGCTGATTTGGGTCTCCAGCCAGAATGTTTGTCTTCGTCTTGAGTGGATTTCATACCCTCAACTTGGAATGATGGGAAGAGTTCCTAAAGACTTGGTGCTTGCATAGAGTTGGTGCGCGCAGGCTCATATTTGGGTTCTCTGACAAGATCATTAATTAATGAAGGATCATGCGTTTCAATATATATATATTTATATATATATCTATATATACAATAGTCGTCTAATTTGGGATGATTTCGGGGTACCGCCGTTTTGGGAAACCTCCATTACTGTATAATTTACACTGGTTATACAGCCCTGCTAGACAGTTGCGAAGCTGATGCCCAGCCGATGGCCCTGAGCTTAGGATGTCTTGGTGGAGAATTTTAAGCCAGGCACTTTGGAACGTGACTGGGCAGCATGGCTTTGCCAAGCCCATGGTAGCAGTGACATGGGGGTGAGCTCAGGCCACTTGTGGTAGTTTCAGGGCTCCAGACAATATTGGGAACATGTTCCTTTTCGGAAATATGGATCCCAATTTGCAAGCCCAAAATGGAGCTACTCTGCAACATATCGTCCAATTTTTATGGGAGGATGATGATGGGGGGTGTTTCATGACCTAAAAGGCCTTACGTCGGCCTTACACGGACCCGGATTGTACAAAAAGAAGTCAGATGCTTCCAAACCGGAACCATTGCGACCTCACCACAGATGATAGTTAGTTAGGGTAGCTATTCTAAAATAGCCTTTTAGCTTTGCGAACTATTATAATGATAATTTACCCAGGTTGGATAATCACCATGATCCCCATTAAATGGCCATTTGGAAGGTATACCCCATTGACAGAGTTATTGTATAACCATAGGGGAAATAAACCGCCCATTTTGTTTTTGTGTCCTTATCCAACCAACATTGTTTTTAACGCACCCTTTGCCTGAGAGAACGACTCATGGGTGAATAGTCAAATGTGTTTTATTGGTGGTAGCCTTTGGCTATTTAACATACTCTAGATATAAACACACGATCTGTTTTTCAAGAGAAACATCATCATAAATCAAACTCCATGGGCCATCTATACCATAGCAATTTTTAAAAGTTCTATTCCTCAACCAGAGGGTCATCCATGGAACATCCCATTGCCATCCGAGGATGGGACATGGCACCTGAAACCTTGCGTCAGCAGAATCCTGGGCTCATCGTGGCTCGCGTGCCTCTTGGATCATTCGGCGGGGGCTGGATCAACAGCTGTTTTTGGGGATTTCCATGTGGTTATTTAACATCGCCATGGAAAATCACAATTTTAATAGGTAAACCATCTATAAATGGGCCATGGCTTCCATGGCTATGTGAAAAATAACCAGAGGGTAAACATCAACATCACCAGATGTCACCAGATGTCACCAGCTATTTTTAGGGCACCTATGGGCACCTCGAATCTCCTAAAATGCCTGGGGGGGGATTCCCACATGTGTTGGTGTGGTCTCCCTCATGTTACATGTTTGTTTGGACGGATCATGACGGAGACGTGGTTTCTTACCGAAGGCGCTGGCTGGTGTGTTTTGGCCATGGGTGATGCCTCAATTGGTGCATTTTTTGAGTGACTCATAGCTGATACACTGATACAGTAGCTTGTTTGATGCAGACGTGGGGAGGTGCTTTTGGGTGAGAACAAGAAGTAGCAATCCGCAAGCCGAGGGAATTTCATCATCACCACATCATGATCATCATCACATTAAAAGTTGCCACCCCCTCTGAGCAATATGTTGACTGGGATAATACCATCAACTTTATCTTCATGAGGGGTCAAAACTTGCCACCCCTTCTGAACGATATGTCGATTGGGGTAATAACATCAACTATATCTCCATGAGGGTCAAAATTCGCCACCACTTATCTTCATGAGGGATCGGCATTCACCACCCCCTATGAACAATATGTTGGTTGGGGTAATAACATCAACTTTATCTTCACAAGGGATCAAAATTCGCCACCCCCTATGAACAATATGTTGATTGGGGTAATAACATCAACTTTATTTTATATCTTCATAAGGGATCAAAATTCGCCACCCTCTATGAACAATATGTCTCAATATGTTGATTGGGGTAATAACATGAACTTTATCTTCATATCCACCTGAAGTCAGACGCGGCGCAACGACAGGGTCGCAGCGAACATGTTGAAACCACCTAGGACCTAGCAGTTTTGAACGCCAGCACTAAGGTCGGGCTATGGCCAAACTGGTCCAAAGAATCTTGCTGGCAGATAGGGGGTCGGATTTCCATCGTGGTTCCAAACAGGAAGTTTGGGTTTATCTTGTATTTTAGAGGGGTCGGAAACACAAGCCGGAACTGGAAATCATGTGTTGAAAGATGTTGTTTTCCATGTTTGCCCCTGGGGGACAGTAAAGAGCAATGTCATGAGTCATGTGTCAGGGTATGGTGAATCCAAGGCGTGCACGGGCATGCCTGATAAACCAGGGAATCGCATGCATGACCAAAGATTGTGTATATGTCTTAATGGCATCTCCATCAGTATCTCTTATCCCCAATGGTCTAGATATGGTTTATCACTGTGTATAGATTGAAACGAATGACTCTGGGGCAAATTAACGTAGCTATACATATAGCTATATGGAACATCACCATTGTTATTAGGTAAACCGGTATATGTTGAACCATAGCTATAGAAAATCACCATTTTTCATAGGGCAACCCCTCCATCCTCTGCCAGGTCGAGGGACCCTGGCTTTGCCTCGGTCTGCGAAGGCGTCGGCGGCTTTCGCTTCGTGAACGGTGCCGCGGCCGAAGAAGTGGGATGAATATTAGTAACAAATGGTAAGTTAACACATAGAAGATAGAAAAGTCATGAAAAACTAACTCCCACTAAATCAAATCATAACTTACTTTTTCTTTTTTCTGGGGGGGTACCTTTGGGAGTTTATATGACTTTATGGGTTATTCAAGTTTATGTTGAACAGCAGTATGCCAAACCGGTTTGCACACATGTACCCTTTGTGTGTTCTTTTCTGTCATATCCAAAAAGTAAGGATATGAGAGCTCAATGCTTTTGCCCTCTATCAGTTTTTACGGTGTCAGTCGGATGGCATGTTGCCATATTTTGCGATTATTTGCTTGGCTTGTGTAAGAACAAGGCATGTCAGAAGACCAAGGTATCCTGCCCATGACTTCTCATCGAAGTGCCCTGATTCATTGAGCTCTGTATATACAGCAGCGCCCGAAATGAGTAAAAACACTCTTGCGATCACTGTTATCGGCATCGTTTGTTTGGGGTTACTATATTTTGTCATCAACTGACTGTCATGAACTATCATCAACTATCACCAATTTTTATGGCTAAATCCCCATGAAAATCATTGAAATGATCATTTCCACTGCGGATGGAAGAAATTTTGCACCATTTGGTAGATGGTTTATCATGATATCCTATAATATTCCATTATTAGTCCTATTATTACCATATTTACAGCGTTTCATAGTTACCAGTTACCAATGTAGTTTCCAATAGTTTCCAGCTGGTGCAGGATGGCTTGTCCATCCACAGTATGGCGACATATCCATTGGTTCATTTGTTTGGACATTTCAATGGGTTATTATAATTTATTATCATGATTCCCATTAAACTGGCCATTTGGAGGTTATACCATGCTATACCCCATCTTCAGGCACACCCGGATATCATATGGTTTCTTATATCCCATTCTATCCCATTCTACCCCATGAAAACCAACCTCTACACAATTCTTACCAACTACCCTCTGGTAAATTAACATAGACCCTGGCAGATAGGGGTTGGAAGACTAGTTTCCATTGAAAATAGGTGATTTTCAGGGTCCAACTGTTGATTTACCAGAGGGTAAATCCAACTACACTAAATTCCCATGAAATGTCCATGAAATTCCCATGAAATCCCCATGAATCATCCGGATTTCTCCCAGGTGTTCCAGGCGATCCGCCGGTGCGGCCCAACCTCTCCATGGGCGACACCTTGGCCGGGATGAACGCCGTGTGCCTTGACAGATGGGGATGTCAACAGGGGAATTCCGGTGATTTTGATGGGATTTAATGGGATTTCAATGGGATTTCGTGTGATTTAAGGTGATTTCATGGAATTCAATGGAATAGAACCATCAACCATGGGAATTTCAATGGGGGATAATGTGATGTAAGTAACAAAATAGCAGGTATAATAGGTAGAAAGCCAAGCAACATGGGGATAGAATGGAATTTAACCATCAACCATAGAAATCTTACGGGATCATTAGTAATGGAATTGTTTACTGTTCTGTGATGTGTTTTTTGCATGAAAATCCATGAATATAGTGACTTAGTTGGTGGGAAAATGATGGCATCAATGGTTGAACATTGGTGTTCCGCCATGAAAATTAGGGACTTAATCAGGAGTAATGGTGGAAAACAAAATGGTGGTATAATTAATGGGGATATCATGGAAATATGGTGATAAACCACCTCCGAACAGGGACGAAGTGGCGTTTCAAGGTGGTTGTCGCCATGTTCAATGTCCTCAGGTTACCCTCTTTTTTGGCCAGCAACTTGGGTTATGTAGAAAGAGCTGAACATAGCAAAGTCGTGTGATATCAAGATTCCAGAATTGATTGAGTTGATGTTTACGGATTTGTTTCTATGAGAAATTCTCCTGTTTGGAGGGTCAAGCCCCTTTTAAGTTTCATGAAAATTCTTGAAGCCAAGGGGAAACAACAAACTATAGGGCCTAAAATCAACAAGTTTGGGAGTAACATTGGGAACATGCTTAGATCAACTGGGTAGCCATGCCCACACGCTCACAGGGTATGATCAAGGTATATCCAGATGTTTGCTACTGATATGTATTGCCGAGCTCAACCATACAAACTTCTTTCTGTTGATGTCCCACTTTGCTTGCTTGTTCTACGCCTACACCACATCTTTAATACTGATTGGTCTCATGCTTAACCTTTTTAGAATGGATTGTAGATCATTTTCTGATGTTGACATGTTTTCACCCAATTATTCTCATCTTATTCCCTCCCATCGTTAAAACCTGAGAACCGCATTGAGTCCCAATGGAGGGGCTGAGGCTTGGCATTCTGTTGGCGCTTCTGAAGAAGGGTTCGGGGCCTCGGGGCCCCATGCAGGTGGAACTGGAAGATCAGTGTAGTAGGCGCCCCATGCTGTAAACCGTGGTTTAATTGGGTTTAATTTGCTTTAATGGGTATATGATAGGTATATATTTAATCGGCGATTAAACGGAAACAACATAGCAACATAATTATGTGGTGGTCATTCAGAAGATCCCATCGATCGGGTATGCCCAATAAAAAAAAACAGGGTGGTTTATTTTTGGGTTACTTCACTAGTAGATGGCTAGTAATTAACCATAGTTGTAACAAATCTATCCATGGGACAAGTTCTACTCGACTTACTCCACTTTGGACAGCTTACCTTTTGGATCTAGTAATCTAACTTTGTTGGCGATGTTCAACAGTCGGGGGGTCAGTGCAAATTACAAACCCAATGGTTCATCACATGTCGCAAGAAGAACAAAAGTGATTTCCATTGCATGTTTGACATGGCCGGAACATATACACGCACATAAATATAGAATATTATATATATATATATATATTATATATATACGTATACATTGGTTTATATATATATATATCTGTCTCCGTGTCCGTTTTGGAAATCAAACATGGCAATGGAAAATGCCCATGTATATATAGTTGAATTTCCTATTCAAACCTCCATTTAGTTCGGGGATTGCCCAGCCATGTTTGATTTTAATGGCTGATTGCAAAGCCAGGCTTTGCACCCTTTGGACCGGCCCAAATGGTGGATGTAGCAATGTAGAATGCTGTAAGCCATGAAAAAAGTGGGGACGGTCACCAAAATTTGGTAATGTAACCTGCTGGGAATGGAGAGCGTTTGGTTCATTATGGTAACATTATGAAACGTTGAATTTTCTTTGCCAGATTGGCCAAGCAGCGATTGTTGGACTACATCAGGCGGTGTGATTCGTTCATGGAGCCATGCTTCGGTAATCAAACATGGCTAGCTGGGAGATCATTCATAAATGTATTCATATATATATAATTAAAATTATATATATATAAATCTATAATAATAATTTTATATGTATATATGGGATCGATGGAACATTTTAATCGGAAATTCACGGACATGCAAGATGTTCCAGCCATGTTTGAATGCCGGAGGGCAAGTAGCAGGGTTTGGCGTCCACTCACCGCTGCCGCTGCCTGCTCCAGGTTGGGGGATTTTGCCCGGAACTGTGTCGCCAAACATGACACTAGGATTTGTTTGAGATCTTGGTTGGCAAGTTTTAGAAGTTTGTACCATGGGATCAGAGAACTCCATAGAAGTTCTGTGAGGTACAGTATCCATCCTTGTTCCTAGGAATGGGCTCACTTCTAACCACATTCAACATATTCAACAGTCAACACTGACACCAGACTTTTTGTCTGAAATTTAGGAACTTACCTGCAGCTAGTGGCAGCTAGTGACAGTTGCATGCACCGCATCTTAAACTACACATCAAATGTTAACAGACCGTCATTTGTATGTGCCCCTCCATTTTACACGACATACATCGTGTCAGTGGCTCATGGGCAATGATATGCAAAGCCAAGTTTGCACCCTCGGCTGACTTTTTTTTGCCTAAGACATCCTTGGCCGCCGGAACGGGTGCGAACACTGCAGATGGTGTCGGAGGCCAGGGGAGCTGAGACCTTCTACTTTCCGGAGGGCATTCCAAGTGCCAAAGAAGCATGAATCATCAAAGTTGGATTGCACAACTGTACTGTCATCGAGTCATCATCAAAAAACATGAATCATCATGACTGATGCATTCACCCAAAATTTCGGGCATTCAGAATTGGGGGTAGATATGCACATGAATCATCAAATAATGGCAAAGACGGACATTATTAATACTTGTTGAATGTGTTCAAAAAATTGCTCACTAATAATGATCATAGCGGGGATGGGGATGGGGATATTTCCACCTCGTGTGGTGATGTGTGGTGAGCCCCAACTTCCATGTGCGTCACACTATCTTCCAAGGGCTCGTTCTAGGATTACGAACAAAGTGGTGATACATTGTAGGATCGCGAGGTTTTTGTGAGTGGAGGATACCCGGTTTGCCATTTTCATCTACTTTCTACAGACTGATTCATTACATTCTAGGTTCCTCGTCAAACAGAGGAGCCCCCATACCTGGGCCATCGTGGGCCAATCCCACAGGTCCTTCACTTCGTAGCCACCAAGCTTCCCTGCTATGATTTTTGGGGCAACTTTGGTGAATAGTAGGTTTATGTGTGTAGCCATTGTTGGAGGAAAAGTTCACATCCCACTAGAACGTACCTTCCCGTAAACTAACACTTCGATGTGGAAAACTCACCGCGCATGTAGATAATTTTCCTAGAGGACCCATTGAATTTCCACGTGTTTTTCGTATGTTTACCCCAGGGTAGTCTTTTCAGGAGTTTCCACTTTAGTCGTCATGGTAAGCAGAACTGCCAAACATTCAAACATTGCACAGCACCCCCTGAGGTCTGGAGCTGCCTCGAGGCCAGGGAAAGTGCATGACTCCACAGACATGTCGATGTGTAAAGTAGATCTAACAAGATATCGACACACCTAATTTTGCAACTGCGATATAGGTATATAATGTATCTATCTCATAGATTATTTCAGATATGTATTTATAGTAATGTTATGTTATGTTTTGTACTGTACTGCAATGTAATGTAATGTAAGGTAATGTGTATGTGGTTATACATGCGGATGTATATGTACATGTTTGCAATTCGTTTTTAATGAAGACACGCGCACACACACAAAGATAAACACATAATTCACGTAATAAGATAAGGTAACATCCTATTGTAGGCTGCAACCCTGAAATGGTCAAGAAACCAAGATCAACAACTCAGCCGTGGGACCTGCAGATGTTGGTTCTTCCTGGGAGCAACCACCAAAAAGATGTTGTGCACCCCCAGTAGTTAGTAGTTTATCCAAGAAAATAGTAACCCAAACAATTAACGAAAAATAGTGGTCAACTAGGTCTCTATACTTCTTTGTCTGTAACTCATCCTTCTTTATACCCTAGAGATTTGGTACTTTTCCATGTCCCGCCCAATGTTCTGACGGCAGGCCTTTAGAAAGCCCTCCCTGCCACGAGTGGACAAAGGACGGTGATTCCTCAGGGTCTGGTTGAAATGCTGTCCATGGGAATTCGTCCCCAGCTTTCGGGGTCTCAGTCGTCACTTTTGGCCAAAATCATGTGCCAGGTGAATTTCAATCTCACGAAGCATAGGGACATAGGGATGTTGGGACCCCCACTGGTGGTGTCAGATTGCTAAGTATAAGAAGTCGCGGTTGCAGCTGGCAATTTTTTAAGGTTCCAATGGTCCAAAAAACGCACAGTTGTCGCTGCAAATCACCCTTCACACTGGCAGATTGTTTTGCAAGCGTCACGGTCCCTGTGTTAGATGCAAGACATCATCCTGTCACAGCATGACTCAAATCGTTGTTTGTGTTTCTTCAGTTTTTCATTGACCAGCTACAAAATTCTCAATCAGACACATGAACACTTGATCCCTCCAAAACAAGATTTGGATATTGCTCCGAACCATAGCAGATGGAGCAAAGATCAGTGTTTGATCCCAAGTTGACCCAACGTTTGTTTCACTCACTTGGATGGTTATATGTTGTTTCCTGTCAAAATAAGTGGGGTTCAAGGAGAAAGTAATTGAACCAATTCAGAGATTGCTGGACATGAGCAGGATATTCAACCAAAAGTGGATTTGGGCTTCTTTTTCAAACATATGTGAATTTATTATGATGTTTAAATATGGGGTATGACATGGTATGACCATGTATGACACCTATTTCATGGCAAGGAATATGAGGTCCAACATCATGAATCATCATCATTCTGCTTCATCATTGCGGCTAATCATATGTATTCTGATCAGAAGCCAAACAATTTTGTCAAGTGATTTTGTTGATTCTATATGGGCTTGTCTTACAGTGTGGGATTGTTTAACACCCCAGTTATGGTCATTTACGGGGAAGGAATGACAAACTATGATAAATCATGTCAATGATAAGCCATCAAAATTTGGGATACCCCATTCAAAACAAACCATAACAAACCCATATATTATAACACATATATGTATATATATATAAATACACAAGTGTAATCAACTATATATATATATATAAGTATAGGCATATTATACGCATATAATATATATATATATAGTAAAAATAAATACATATAACATATATCCATATACCAGTAGTACCGCACAAGGCGGTGGCGGAAGTTTCAAAAATAGGAAACCTATAGGAGACGTTGGTTGTTGTGAATCAGGGATGGCAGAGCGAAGCCACTGATTGACCGAAACGTGGTTGGAGTTGTGTTTGCTGGAATGGTTGCAATGGTTGCAGTGGTCACCTCACCCACAACTGCTGGATGTAGTGTGATGTACTGCAACTGTAGTTGTAGTTGTCGCGTAGTGGAGTTGTAGTTGTGGTGTAATGTAATTAGTGTAGTGTAGTTGCAGTCATATAGTTGTAGCTGTAGTTGTTTTGTAGTTGTAGTTGTAGTTGTTGTAGTTGTTGTGTGGTTGTAGTTGTTGTGTAGTGTAGT